CAGTCCATCATATTTTGCCCTCTTTCTTTCATTGGCTTCGCCACATCTCTCCTCCCAGGGAACCGTCAACTCTATAATTACCACTTTTTTACTGCTGGTGGACCAGAGAACCATGTCTGGTCTCAGGTTAGTAGGTACAATATCAGGAAATTGCAGCTTCTTTCCTAGATCTACTTCTAACTGCCAATCTCTCGCCTGATTTAGCATTCCTGATATATTCTTTTTACTTTTCTGGCCTACTTCTCCCTCCTTCACAACCTGGATCTTGATAGGTTTGTTTCTAATATGTTTTGCATCTTTCCTCTGTTTCTCTATAACTTCAGCAAGTTCCCGGAGTACTTGGTTGTGTCGCCATGTATATTTCCCCTGTGTAAGAGCGATATTGCACCCTGAAAGTACATGTTGTAGAGTTCCTCTGTTTCCACACAAGGGACAATCTGGTGTTTCTGAAAGTTTCCACCTGTGCAGATTTGTAGGTGTTGGTAACACATCATACACTGATCGTAGAAGGAACTGTAGTTGGTATTGAGGATATCGCCATATTTCTGACCATGTAAGGGATCGTTGTTCTAATTCCCATCTCGACCAAGCGCCTTGGATCCCTAATTCTACTGTCTTTCCTTGTCTGTTTTCTTCTTCTCTAGATTTTATCTCTCTTTGGACTAGACTTCGTCTTTCTTGGGTGTTAGCGTTCTTCCAGTAGCAAGCTTTTGATGTACCAAGGCCCTGTCGTCCTACTGCCACTGTTCCTACGATATCTTTATGCCTCAATCTACTCCCTGCCTCTGAAACTCTTTGGAGGCTGACCACTTTCGTCCTGTTCTTACTTGGACACCTGCTGTTCTTACTTTGTCATCTCTAGATTCTTTCAGTGTCATCACAAGGCGAGTTTTGCTAACTTTGAATTCTTCCACTATAGATGTTAATGGTAGCTGCAACTTAGCGGTCCTGCTGTACAGTCCTACAGTTGTAAAACTTGGAGGGACACCTAACCATTTCCTAAGGTGTCTGTTGATGGTTCTTTCAAGCTTCTCAACTGTTGTCAATGTAATTTCGTACAACATAAGTGGCCATGATATCCTTGGCAGGAGTCCATGTTGGTATATCCATGCCTTTAATTTCCCTGGTAGACCTGTCTTGTCAATGTTCCTCATTCCCTCTGAAACCTGATATTGTTTTTGTCACTTAAAGAGTCATCATACCACTTTCCTAAGCACTTGATGGGATTGTCAATTATTGATGGAATGACTTCTCCTTGCACCTTCAGTTCGACTTGGTGTGTGCTCTTCCCTTTTCTTATGATTAGAGCTCTAGACTTCTTTGGCTTGAAAGCCATCCTTGCCCATGTTACTGTCTCTTCCAAGGCCTTTAACACCCATCTAGCCTGGACATGGGTATCTGTAGTGATGGTTAAATCGTCCATGAACCCTCTATTTGGTGGTTGCCTAATGTCAGTTGATGTTTTTGGGCCTCTAGTTTCTCTCTCTCCAGATTTAATAATCATATTCATTCCCATGACAAACAAGATAACTGAGATGGTCCATCCAGTAACTATTCCTTTTTGTAGTTTCTGCCATGTTGTTGTAAATGTGCTTGTTGTAAACCGCAGCTCAATCCCACTGAGATAACTTCTTATTACTCTCTTAAAGTGGTCGGGAATATGGTAATGATCTAGTGACTGCTGTATCAGCATATGAGGAACAGTACCATATGCATTGGCCAAATCTAACCATACTACTGTAAGATCTTTCTTGTTCACTTTGGCCTATTGAATTAGTTGTGAAATGATGCTTGTATGTTCAATGCATCCTGAGAATCCTGGTACTCCGCCCTTCTGTACTGAAGTGTCTACATAGTTGTTATCTGTCATATATGATGTCATCCTTCTAGCCATGATAGAGAAAAAGACCTTTCCTTCTACATTTAGGAGGGAAATTGTCCGGAATTGTGTGATGTCTTCTGATTTTTCTTCTTTTGGAATAAAACACCCCTCTGCTTTCTGCCAACATGATGGTATCTTCCCTTTCCTCCACACCACTTTCAGTAGCCTCCACAGGTGTTTCAAAATCTTTGGACACTTCTTATATACCTTGTACGGGATGCCATTTGGTCCTGGTGATGATGCAGACCTAGCTTTCTTCACTACATCTGACACTTCTTTCCATGATGGTTCCTTAATGTTCATTGGTATTTCAGGTTCTGGTACATTTTCTATCCTTTCACAGTTTCCTAGATGTTCCCACTGCCTTTCGTCACTGTGTGTCTCTGATAGATGTTTTTCCACTTCCTCTTTTGTGCTTTTTACTGATCCCGCCTTTGTTCCATCCAGTGTTGCTTTGGTGAACTTGTAGGGATTGGCAACAAACATTGCTCTCTTCTTCCCTCTTTCTCTCCTTGATTTCCTGATCCTTTCTGCTCTTTGTAGATTGTTTCTTCTCTCCCTCAGTATTGATCTTAGCTCATTCAGCCCTTCTTTTTCCTCCTCGTTTGCTCTTCTATACTGCTTTGTGACATCATTTATTTCGGTTCTGAGTGTTTGTATTTCTTGTTGACGTCTGTTATGTTTAGTGTTTCCCTGAGTGCCTTCTCTGGTTTTGATGTTACTAACTCCAAATCGTTCTTGTCCTACTGCATATATAAATGTTGACAATGATGATATCTTTCTCCGTACATCTCCAGTTAGTGTGTTATCTAAGATCTTGTCTAGGTCTTCATCAAAGATCTCCCATCTCCTATCATCTGTTGGTGGCCATTGTATCTTTTCTTTCCTGCTGTATGTTGAAGGTACTGTTGATGTTTTCTGCTGATTTTGATTCCATTGCTCCTCCTCAATGTTGATCTGAGTAGCTTCATTAGGTAAGAGGTCCTCAGCACTGTGGTGTGCTTCCTGGCTGTGGTCCTCCGTCGTCTCATCAGTGTTAACTGTGCGTTCCCTCTGCTGCTTTCCAGATCCACACCTAGTTCTTGCCTGGTGTGTCTTTAAACCTTTTAAGTTCTTGCATATATATAATAATTTAACGAATACAAATTTATTTTGAAGTATTAAATATGTGAAGTAATATGTAATGATAGTTTTGTCTTATTGGCATTATTGTTTTATTGCCTTCCAATGAACATATTTTAATACTCATTTATACTTTGTGGATTAAAGAAAACTTGGAACTATTGTGGCATTTGATTTTTTCAATTTGCAAAAGTCTATATAAAAGCTTTTAGAAAAATATGTACATGGTTGAACATTTTTAAGTTCATCATTTACCTATACCCATGAAATCCTCGAAAATTTGTATACCACGAATAATAATTAATCTACAATTCGTTGTTTACCTATACTCATGAAATCCAAACTAGAGGCTCTAAAGAGCCTGTGTCACTCACCTTGGTCTATGTGCATATTAAACAAAGGACACAGATGGATTCATGACAAAATTGTGTTTTGGTGATGGTGATGTGTTTGTAGATCTTACTTTACTGAACATTCTTGCTCTTTACTATTATCTCTATCTATAATGAACTTGGCCCGGTAGTTACAGTGGAAAATATTTTGTAAAAATTTACAAAAATTTACAAAATTTATGAAAATTGTAAAAAATTGACTATAAAGGGCAATAACTCCTTAAGGAGTCAATTGACAATTTTGGTCATGTTGACTTATTTGTAGATCTAACTTTGCTGTACATTATTGCTGTTTACAGTTTATCTCTATCTATAATAATATTCAAGATAATATCCGAAAGCTGCAAAATTTTCTTAAAATTACCAATTCAGGGGCAGCAACCCAACAACGTGTTGCCTGATTGTTCTAAAAATTTCAGGGCAGATAGATCTTGACCTAATGAACAATTTTATCCTCATCAGATTTGCTCTAAATGCTTTGGTTTCAGAGATATGAGCCAAAAATTGCATTTTGCCCTATGTACTATTTTTTAGCCATGTCGGCCATCTTGGTTCGCGGGCGGGGTCGTCGGACATATTTTTTAAACAAGATACCCTAATGATGATTGTGGACAAGTTTGGTTAAATTTGTCTTAGTAGTTTCAGAGGAGAAGATTTTTGTAAAAGATTACAAAAATTTACGAAAAATTGTTAAAAATTTGCTATAAAGGGCAATAACTCCTTAAGGGGTCAACTGACCATTTTGGTCAAGTTGACTTATTTGTAGATCTTACTTTGCTGAACATTATTGCTGTTTACAGTTTATCTCTATCTATAATAATATTCAAGATAATAACCAAAAACGGCAAAATTTCCTTAAAATTACCAATTCAGGGGGCAGCAACCCAACAACGGGTTGTCCGATTCATCTGAAATCTTCAGGGCAGATAGATCTTGACCTGATAAACAATTTCACCCCTATGTCAGATTTGCTCTAAATGCTTTGGTTTCAGAGATATAAGCCAAAACCTACATTTTACCCCTGTGTTCTATTTTTAGCCATGGCGGCCATCTTGGTTGGTTGGCAAGGTCACCGGACACATTTTTTTAAACTAGATACCCCAATGATGATTGTGGCCAAGTTTGGTCGAATTTGGCCCAGTAGTTTCAGAGGAGAAGATTTTTGTAAAAGTTAAAGACGACGGACGACGATGACGACGGACGACGGACGCCAAGTGATGAGAAAAGCTCACTTGGCCCTTTGGGCCAGGTGAGCTCAAAAATTGGTATCTCATGAATAATAATTAATCTACAGTATTTAAGTTCTTGTCTGGTCAAGTATGTTGCAGTCTTCTCTTTATGGCAAATTTCAACCTCATTTTTATACTGGTCCATAAGAAACAGTGCAGAAAACCAACTCTATTTATTGGTATTTTGACTTGAATGGACTGACCTGTTTCTATAAATAGCACAGACAGATATCAATTGAAACACATCCAGAGTTATGTTCAGCCATTGGACCTTCCAACAAACAACATAAAAATCTCAATAGTTGCTTTCAAACTGTTTAAAAATTGTGCATGGTTTTCTATCAGCTATCAATTAAAAAAAACACAATCTTATTTTTGAAAATGGTTTATTGCACAAAGTAAAAAAAAAAACAGTTATAAAATAAATACATTTTTTGGTGGTAAAAAAGACAAAATATTACATTCATTTCACATGATATTTGCTGCAATTAATTTTCTTTAAATATGGTTCAGTTTTTCTTAAAGGGAAACATATGTACCAATTTTGATGTTCGATAGGTTCAAAAGGGTAGCTCTTTAGTGCATACAATCTTTATCAATAATGTCATTAATTTTCATTTACAATATTGCAGCAAATTTCATTGTATTTTTATACTTTTTAGATGAAATAAAACAAAATGTAGTGAAGCATCCATTTGTTCATTTAAGCAGATGATACAAAAAAAAACAACAATATAACAATGGTTCATTTATCTGAATACAATCTTGACAATAAGAACAGTGTACCTGCCATTAATGTTCCCAAGTATTTCTGTATACATGTATAAAAAGTTCTTTTTGTTTTGCTTAGTAATAAAATATAATTGAAAATATCAAAAACCAACATACTTCTTTGCTGAAATCTGTGTTTAATTTAAGGATATTCGCTACTGAGACTGTTTCAAAATAACAAGCATTTTATAAGACTGTTATGAATTGATAGGATATGAATGAAGTAGCTAAAAGAAGAAAAAAATTAGGGGTCTGTGTGCTTGTTTTCTAGATATAAGCCATTGAAAATTTGGCGGGAAATAATTCTCACTAGATTTTTCATACACTTAACATTTGTACCTTTTTTCTTTATAAAACAATGAAAAAATAAAAAGGATTCTGTAAGATTTTCAAAGATGACATTTTAAACTATATTTTATCAAATTAGGGGTTAATGGGCAAAATTTTTAATGGCACTACATGGATAAAACCAGAGGATTCCGAATATCTGGCAAAAATTCAAAAACATTAGGAACAAACATCCTTAAGCTGAATAAGGTATAGAACAACCAACCTAGGAAACAACCAGGAAGAAAAAATAAGAGTAGTACATATTTCACACACAACAATTTTTACACATGGCTTTCAAAATTTGTAAAATATATGTGAAATGTTGGTATGAACTGTTGTTTTGACATGAAATGATTGTCACTTTATTTAAATAAATGGGTATAAATACCTGAAATAGTCATTGATTTATACAAATTAGAAAACAATGGAGTCATGAATTAGTGGTTTGGTACTGTTGATTGTCAGAAAAAATAAGGAGTTTTGGAGGGGCCTTGAATTCCTGTTCCTCTGGCCTCTGTTCAGTCAATTATAAGTACAGAAACTTTACAATTCAATAAATCAAAGAATAGTTTATTTTACATAAAATTGCTAGATTACAGGAGATATGTACCTAATACTGCTTATGTCTTTTAAATTACAATTACAACACAGAAGTGCCATTTTTATCAAATTTTGCAAAAAAACAGGAAAATATATTAATTTTAAATCAAATCAGACTTCAACACATACATGCACAGTGATAAAAGCTCTCATCTACAAATACACATAAACACATCAATCAACAAAACAATGGTTCAGTTTAAGTCAAAATATAACAATTTACCGGGAAAATAACTTATCACAGAACACACTCTTGATGTAAAATGCCATTTATTCTGAACATCATAAAAGTTCCTTGTAGACTTATGAAAAGGAAAAATATGTTTGGCAAATAGTTAGATAATGGAAAGCTAAAAATAAAGTACTGCTGTTCCCTACTGTATATGTCAATTATTTTCATGTGGCCGTAAAGGGAATTGGGATTATGTTCAACTACCACCATTGAGCCAAATATTTTTCTTCTTCTTGTCACATGTATCTAGATTTGAGCTACAGCCTTACACAAAAAGGATATGCTGCAAGAAGTCTTACAGAGAGATTTAAAGAAGGTTAAATTGTCAATGAATCATTTGGAATTAGCTCTGAATTTACCTATCTTAATAACATTACGCATTCAGAGAGCACCAATCAAAGTGCTCGATTTGTGACATGCTTTTATCATATATATATGTTGATGCCCTTGTGAGTGGAAGAGTTAACCACAGGACGGGACTGGATTTTTTGGGTTAATATTTTATTTGGCTATTGAATTTTTTTGTTTATCTTCGCTAACCTTATGTAAAATTCCAACATTTTTTTCTCCTTTTCTCAAAAAATACAAGTCATGTAATGACGCAGGAAATATGCAACTGAATACTATGAATCCTGATCTTGATCGGAATGATGTTTTATGTGCCTATGACGTAAAAATGAATCTGAAGTATTATCACTATCAGGTAACAGTTCCTCTGTTGTTTCTCCACCTATAGTCTCTGTTTCACCAAACTCTGGTGAACTTTTGGATGTAGATAGTCTTTTGTCTGTAAAAATAATTGTAAACATTTTCATTATCAATTTTTGTCAATAAAAGTAGGAAGCATTATTTTAACAATTTTCCATAACAATCAACACAATTAAAAATAATATGATTTAAAAAGGATCAGTTTAGTAACTAGAAAAACACAATCATTCTATTTTCCTAAAAGAAATATCCCCATTATTTTCTGTCAATAGTAATGATATTATCGACATATACAAAGGGATCCAGGAACTTGACCACCCTTTTTTGTTAGATTGTTTTCTTTAACCATGTAAAAATATATCAAAGCTGGGACAAAAAATCTTGCCTGTCACAGGTGGCACCTACATTAAAAAAAATCTAAAATCAATGATTGGACATAAACATTGGCATGCTTTTCACAGAAAGGCGGATTGAAATTAGTACCTATTATGTTGATTAATGATAAATTCTTTACTCCATTTGATTCTTACAATACTAAAATAATGGACACACAAAAATTATAATTTAACAAATTACCATAAAATGTTAAGGCTCATTTGACAGTAGTAATAAGCAGGTGTCTGATGCTTGGTGATAACAGCTATTCCTACCCTCACAAAGTTACCAAAGGGGGTTATACAAGTAGTAAAACCATTTCAACATAGCAGATATCAGGGAATTTAGTTTTTGGACAACCATAAATTTTTGCATATTTTGCATATTTCTTTTAAATCAGATATTTCATATTCAGTTGTGAAATAGTGAGCTTACACATAGGAAATGAGAGGAAGAGTGGTTTTCAATCAAGTAGGAATAACTGACTCTCAATCTCTAACATTGAGACTAAGTCATTACCTTCTTTTTCTTTGTCCATCATTTTCCGTATTCTTTTTCTTCTTTCTTCCAATGATTCAAAATCATCATCATATGAATTGTATTCACTGCTGTTAGATTTCTTTGTTGACAAGCACTGATACCATGACAACAAGGCAATAAATAACAACATTACTAAATTACAGGAGATTCCAAACAGAGCAGACATCATTGGCCAGTGGTAAAGGAAATACCTGTAATATCAAAAAATGATACAATGACAGAGCAGACATCAGTGGCCAGTGGTATAGGAAATACCTGTAATATCAAAAAATGATACAATGACAGAGCAGACATCATTGGCCAGTGGTAAAGGAAATACCTGTAATATCAAACAAGAGTGCACACGCTGAAATGTCTCACCTTCTTTACTAATCATTGATATTATGTTGATAGTCCTAAATATAAAGCTTAATTACAACTGTCACATAAACTTAACATTAACTAAGAAAACTAAACATTGTCCAATGAACCATGAAAATGAGGTCAAGGTCAGATGAACCATGCCAGGCAGACATGTACAGTTAACAATTCTTCCATATAACAAATATAGTTGACCTATTGCTTATAGTTTAAGAAAAACAGACCAAAACACAAAAACTTAACACTGAGCAATGAACCGTGAAAATGAGGTCAAGGTCATATAAAACCTGCGCGACTGACATATAGATCATAAAATATTTCCATACACCAAATATAGTTGACCTATTGCATACAGTATAAGAAAAACAGACCAAAACACAAAAACTTAACTATAACCACTGAACCATGAAAATGAGGTCAAGGTCAGATGACACCTGCCAGTTGGACATGAACACCTTACAGTCCTTCCATACACCGAATATACTAGACCTATTGCTTATAGTATCTGAGATATGGACTTGACCACCAAAACTTAACCTTGTTCACTGATCCATGAAATGAGGTCGAGGTCAAGTGAAAACTGTCTGACGGGCATGAAGACCTTGCAAGGTACGCACATACCAAATATAGTTATCCTACTACTTATAATAAGAGAGAATTTAACATTACAAAAAATTTTAACTTTTTTTTCAAGTAGTCACTGAACCATGAAAATGAGGTCAAGGACATGAGACATGTGACTGACGGAAACCTCGTAACATGAGGCATCCATATACAAAGTATGAAGCATCCAGGTCTTCCGCCTTCTAAAATATAAAGCTTTTAAGAAGTTAGCTAACGCCGCCGCCGTAGCTGCCGGATCACTATCCCTATGTCGAGCTTTCTGCGACAAAAGTCGCAGGCTCGACAAAAATGATACAATGACAGAGCAGACATCATTGGCCAGTGGTATAGGAAATACCTGTAATATCAAGCATATAATGCAACAACAAGGACATAGACAACATATATATAAGTAGAGTATAAATAAAAGGAGAATGTGCCCATGGGACAGAGATGATGCCCCCGCTTACACATTACTTTATAAAGGAACTAAACTCGAGAACAGTAAAAGTAACGCCAACCAAATTCGAACTTGATCTGTGTTTTGTGTTGTGTATAACTTAAGTTTTTTTAACATTTGGTTGAAGCAAACTAAAGTTAGAGAACAGAAACCAATTTAAAAAAAAATGATATTGATAATTGTCCATTGTCTAGGTTGAATTCATTCATTACTTTTCTGGACTCCATTCAATGAAGAGATTTAAGAGATGATGTAGTGACAGATGTCATTCTTTACGGCTTGTACTGTGACTTCTTATTGCTTATGAAATTGTGTCAATGACTTGCTGTCTGATTAACATTAACATTACAACTCCTTTTATTCATTAAAAACAAGAATGTGTCCATAGTACACGGATGCCTCTCTCACACTATCATTTTCTGTGTTCAATGGACCGTGAAATTAGGATCAAAACTCTGATTTGGCATTAAAATTAGAAAGATCATATCATAGAGAATATGTGTACTAAGTTTCAAGTTGATTGGACTTCAACTTCATCAAAAACTAACTTGACCAAAAACTTTAACCTGAAGCAGGACAAACAGATGGACGAACGAATGGATGGACCAAAAAACATAATGCCCCTAGGTGGGGCATAAATACTTATTTCTTATATGCATTATTTGCTAGATTTATACATTACCTCAGCCCTGTAAATTTTGCATACATCTTTAGTACCATTGTATACAACTGTACATGTAAATTCTGAACTTCTACAATAATACCTACAGCTGGATTGTACTGTAATTATAGAATAATATACATCATTCAATTTTGTATCCCTGTATACCAGATACTGGTAATGACATTCAATTACAGAATTCCATAGCAGGAATTAGGTAATAATTTACAGTACACCTTAATCCATTGGGCACAAGTAATCAGCACTATCTGATAAACAGGACTTCACAGTGTACTTTATGTACTGCAATATGTTTTTGCCAAGAATGATGAACTTGAATACTTTTTTGCCAAAAATGATGAACTTGAATACTTTTTTGCCAAAAATTATGAACTTGAATTTTTTTTTTTCACCAAAAACAATTTTTTTTTTGGTCGAAATTGAGAACTTTAATATTTTTTAAGGTGAAACAATTATAGTTGTACATCCATTCTTTGAATGTTTTAATCTAATAGAATGATTTTTTTTCATAAAACTACAAAATTTTATTGATGTGAAATCATTACTTACTGCATCATCTACATAATTAGAGAAGAATTCTATCATCAACATCTGCTTCTGTTCTACAAAACCTGACAATAACAGAGGCGAGAAGACAAAGGTATCCAAGACTCGTAATAACTCAGATCTGTAGTGAAGCATTGTCTGTAATAAAAAAATAATAGTTACATATACTTTCTACATATATGCAGACAGAACAAGTATGGTGTAGCTGTATTATGCATTGAAAAGTTTCTGTCTACTTACAGAGGTAGATATATTTACAATTAAAAAACACACAATTGATCTTTTTGCGATGTCATATTTTCTGCCCACATTATTCTTCAGAATAAAAAATAAGATAAATAGCAGCTACCTCATATTACTCTTAATTATCTAATTACAAAAAGGAACTCCGACATGATGATATGATATGATCCTGAAATCTTATCTTCAGGAAGTCTTGGTTGTTAGCAGTTAAATGTTCTTTGACATAATCATAATGTTTGTCTCTGTTGCGTACTATATAAATATGTCTATCCTGTTTGTTTGAAATGAATGCAATCCCTTCTTTTCTTCAAATTTTGTAGTAATTAAAACAAATCTGGGTAGACATTTCCATATAATTTTTATCTTGATTTTTGACATTTAGGTATATCTTCTGATTTTTTTTGCTGTAATTTTTACCTTTGCTTAAAATATATCAGACATATTATTTTTTCAGTATTTTTTTGTGTCTTCAGACTGCTGTCTCGTTGAGGGCTATTCCATTAAAATGTATGTGGGAGGGTAGGAAATGACTTTCAAAATATCCCTACAACCAAGAACCATTTTTAGATAATTTGCATAATGGTAATAGACGCATACTGAAGAAAGACCTGTGACCCACATTCAATAATTAAACTTCCCTTCCTACCCTCCCACATACATTTTAATGGAATAGCCCTGATGTATACATCACCTATATGATTATTGGTATCTTAAAAAGCTATAAAAATTCATGATTTACTGATTGAAATCCTATGCCAAATTATTGATATATTTTGATAAGACTTACTTGACTGCCACAACAATCATCATCTCAACACATCTTGTCAAAGTAACAAATATATTTTAACACATTATAAAAATTTACATACAATGGTAAAAGTGATATCTTAAAAAAAAGACATGGTATTTAATCAAGAATCTATAGCATGGAATATTGTAAAGCAGTTCGAATTCTATACCTATAAAATAAATATATATGTATAGTCATAATTTTTTTGATTGATGCAATGTTGTTATCAAATTGCAAAATGCAAGTTTTTATTCAATTATGATTAATATTTCATTCCAGTCATATTAAAATAAACTTTTAATTTGCCCAATTCACATGATAATTGTAATTCCTTATTTGCATGTCCCAAGTCAGGAATCTTGTCAATGGTTGTCTTTTTTGTTTATCTTAGAGCTATTCCAGAATTAATTGAGCTTGGGAGTTCGTCGGCACCTAATATTAATGATAATGGGGTTTTAAAACATCTTTTCACAGAAAAGTGCATTCAATCTAAAATTAAAATTGTAGGGTTGGGGTGTGGGAAAGTGCCTTCAGTCTCCACCTTCATTGTTTTTGTTGGAGGCCTTATGATGACTTATATAGTTGTTGAAATAGGAATATGGTGGGTTAGTTCATACTTGACTTAACCAAAAGCTATAGGGTTTTTATTGCTTTTTTAAGATGATGTTTTTGGTTTCACATGCATTTTTCTGACACAGAATAAATGTAGTCAAAGAACTTGAAATTGGTTATATGATTTGAATTTATATTCAATTGAAGATGTCTTGCTGTTGTGCAATACACTGTGCTGTTGTGCAATACTTAGTAAATCTGTTTTCAGACTATATACAAAGAATTAGCAACATAAATTGTGACCCCCAATTTTTTTGGGGGAAAATTGATAATTTCTTAAATCTTGAGGGAAAAAAATGTTTCTTTTGTGCCCCTTTTGGGCCCCTAATTCCTAAACGGTTGGGGCTATCACCCCCAAAAACAATCCCAACCTTCCTTTTGTGGTATTGAACTTTTTGGTTAAATTTCCTAGAGATCCATACACTTAAACTAAATGTATTGTCTGGAAACTAAATGTCTTCAGATGTTGACGACGACGTGATAGCAATATACTAAATATTTAAAAAATGATTTGAAACAATAAACAATGATCAATAAAATAATCATTAAAAAGCCTTACTTTGTTGACTCAAAGCAAATGGTTCTAGTGACTAATGGTTTGAATGGTTAAGTGTGAGAACATGATTAATCTAGGATTAGTAAAGTAGTGCAGTGAAGATGGTTAACAGCCAGTAAACGGAAGCATCACTGTTTTCCTTCTTATATAAATCTATAAACAGTCATACTACTGATGATAAAGAAAAATCTAAATAAAACAAAACTATATAGCTAAGAACAGAAGAAATACAGTGATTGAAATGAACCTGAAACAAACCTGATTATTTTCCTTGCTTTCTCAGATAAAAGTATTTTGAAAATAGAAATCATTATACAGATAATACTTTTTCATTGTGAAAACCAAAAGCTTTAAGGTGGTGGTACCAAACACCTTGACTAAAATCAATTTGCCTCTTTTAATTTTCATAAAATTTTGACAAAATATTTACTTTAACCCTTTGACAAAAATATAAAAATTTCAAAAGCTTGAACCACACACTCGGAAAAATTTCATTGGATATATAGCAGTTTGACAAACACTAATTTTGATCATTGAGAAGCTTAATATTTCCTTACCAATAGAACGTGATTAAAACGATCAGCTGATTTTTCTCCCTGTAGTGCTATGTACCACCTTAATGTCACAATAAATTTTATAAGAATGAATTCAAAACTTCCAGATAAATACATGCTTAAGGAGCATGAGTTTTTTTCTTGGAAGATAAAATCAATTATTTTCCAAATTTAGGTCAGTGTAAATGTTAATAGGTTCACTGTTACATCAATGAAACATTGTTAACAAAGCTGCAAAGTTGTAAAGCTAGTTTTTTTTTTCAGTTGATTGCTATGGGCAATTTATTTCCAATCACAATAAATCAGATTTGAGTCTTCAGTGCAATAACTGTGCAAGGATTAGTAAAAGATCATACACCTACACTTACTGATCTTGTAGCCATAGACAAACTCTCGCCTTTCTTATTATACAACTGTAATTTTACAATAAACATTCCTACAAAAATAAGCACATGGTTCATGTCTATCATATGTGTTTAGTTTATATGTGTTATATAAAAGGCCATTAATTTCTCCTTTAAATTGTTTCACAATTTTCATGTCAGAGCCTTTTATAGCTGACTATACAGTATGGGTTTTTTTCATTGTTGCAGGCTGTCAGTGACCTATAATTGCTCCTATCCATATCATTTAAACTCTGGTGGATAGTTGTCTCATTAACAACCATACCACATCTCCTTATTTTAATACAGAAATAAAATTATTACATTTGTTTTAAAAGTATTTTTCAAAATGTATGTGATGTAGATTAATTGTTCAAAATTATATATGTTCTTATCAAAACCTTTTAAATAATGCAGGACTACAGGCTAGCTGCACTAATTGGTAAATGGTACCATTTCATTTCAAAACTTTTTGCAGTGAAGAAATGGCCAAACAAAAATTCAAATTGACCACTTGGTACTAAACATCTGTCTGTCAATCCTATGATACTAATATTAACATCCATCTGTTCATCCTATAGTAGTAGTACTAAAACATTCATCTGTCCATACTTTGATACTAACCTAATTCTTTATTTACATTAGATTCTGGTAAGTCTAAATTTAACACAATACTGTACAGCTGGCCTGTTACAAACATCTACAAAAAAAACAAAATGTTGAAGCTAAATTTAACACAATACTGTACAGCTGGCCTGTAAAAAACATCAACTAAAAATTAAAAAAAAAATTGGAGAAAAAAACTAATCAAAATGAATACCCATATAAAATATTTGTATAGCAATATAGCAAAGAAGGAGTAATTTGCTCTGACTTTAAATTGTCCTGATATACCTTTTCATTTTTGAGTGCAACAGTTAGATGGATCAAACTTTAAAAATTTATCATCAATTGTGCACTTGCTTTCTATTTTATACCTCCTTAGCATGGGAATATTTGCAGTTGTTGAAATATTATATGATACCAGTATACATGTATAACAAATTTTTTCCCTCCTGGATACCGGATTCGGCCCTGGTTTTGGTGTTATTATCTACCAGAGTTCAAATGATGAAGATAAAAGCAATTATATGTCAGCGTACGGCCTTCAACAATGAGGTAAAACCAGTTCTGCCAACTTTTAATAATGCAAATGCGTGAGATTTGGCCAAGATCGTAAAGATCAAAGAGAAAAAACAATAGATCAAAGGAAAATGCCGCCAAATAAGCATGAAAATGCGTGAGTCTCACGCTAAATGCGTGAGACTTGGCAGCCCTGTAAAACCCATACTGTATAGATAGCAACTGATTTTTTCTCATCAACTTATGGTTTAATTATGATAACCCCCTTGAATATTGGGCCTTGATATAACTTCTCCACAAAATCAACAACCTTACATAGCAAATATCATAGAATAGAGAATGGAAACAGGGAATGTGTCAAAGAGACAACAACCCGACCAAAGAGCAGAAAACAGACCAAGGCTACCATGGGTCTTGAACGCAGTGAAAAAATCCCACACCCAGAGGCGGGCTTCAGCTGGCCTCTAAACAATAATGTATACTAGTTTAGCGAAATGGACACCACACTAAACTCTGAAACATACAAGTGAACCAATATTAAAAAAACACACAACGCTAATAAAGGCTAGAGGTTCCTGACTTGGGACAGGCACAACAAAGCGAAGGGGTTTAACATGTTTTGTGAGATCTCAACCCTTCCCCTATATATACCTCTAGCCAATGTGGAATAAACAAACACACAGCAATACACATAGCAAAACTCAGTTTAAAAGAAGTCTGAGTCTGGTCTTAGAATAGGTAACAGAAGAAAGTAAGCAAAATGACAATAATCAACATTAATCAACAAAGAATCACTATCAATTACTGACATGCCACATTCTTTCTCCTGTTAACATTTGCAATAGGTCCAATATCATGGAGATATTTTTGAAGAGCTATTATTTGGTCTAAAACTCATAAGTGTTCCTCACTTTGAGGCCCATTAGAAAATATAGTAATATATTGTTCCTCTTCAATTCATATTGATTTTCTTATATCTATTATTTTGTTTACAATGTATTCATATTTTGATATACTTTTTGTTTTATTTTATGTGTTTCACAAGTTAAAGCATATGACTTACATTTTCTTGACCTGACTTTAACAGGGATATGTTAGCTGATGGAAAAGAGCAGGCACCCATTCCAACCTCACATGTCCTGAAATTGAGTACATGATATTAGTTCTGTATCTTAGCAACACCTCTTAGATTAATAAAGAAATCAACAACTCAATCTCCCATGAAAAATTAAAGGTAAAAGGTAAAATACATTTAGGTTCAAGATATCAGCATAAGATAATATAAGTTGTCGTTTGTTGCTGTATATCATATTTGTTTTTCGTTCATTATTTTGTACATAAATCAGGCTGTTTGTGTTTTGTTTGAATAGTTTTATATTTGTAATTTCAGGGCCTTTTATAGCTGACTATGCGGTATGGGCTTTGCTCATTGTTGAAGGTAGTACAGTGACCTATAGTTGTTAATTCCTGTGTCATTTGGTCTCTTGTGGAGAGTTGTCTCATTGGCAATCATTCATGTACCAAATTTTCTTATCTTTATATCTTTATATCAATTAAAATCAAAACATAAAACCTGTGATTGATTATTGAAACATTAACGTCTTCAGTACCCCAACACCACTGGTGTTAAACTGATAATCGTAACTGGAATTACAACGATCCCAATATGGGGACGGCAGAAATATGTAAAATCTTTTCAGTCATTTTTCTCAAATGTAGCCCGTTGTTGTCAAGAGTTACTCAGCTGCAAGGTTTTTCTATACCATTACATCATATTTGAATCGTAACGGTGCACTATAATTGTCTAAGAGCTAAGAAAATTGCCGTCGAAAAATTAGGGATGATAATCGTAATTCGATGGCATTTTTCTTGTTTGATAATCGTAATTTCTTTATGGGATAATAGTAACTGAAAAATAATAATAAATGTGTCTTCCAGCTTGTCAATGGTATTTTGTGTGTAAAAACTACAATGTCCAGGGGGGGGGGGGGGAGGGAGTGTTGTGTTATAAACTGAACGTTTATACTAAATTTCTGCGAGAAATGAACAAAATTTTCCATCAGTTACTTAACTGCATTATTTGATTTAACAGTTGATACTTTGATTGGTGGATATGAGTTTTCATTTTGCCCTTTTCCTTATATTTGGAGTGAAATGTATCCCGGTTAAAATAGCCGTTCATATTTTTCAAGTGAATTCACTTTTGTTCTGTTTTACACTGATATTTTATATGAACTTAAAAATTAAATTCAAATATTTTGATTAAATACCCATGTATTTTAGGACGTTTCTTTAAACAGGGTGGATGGTAAAGGATCTAGAATAGTTACCAGTTTATTGTTACTATTGTTTATTGTTACTTGTGTTTATTCTTCCTTGTGCTTATTGTTCCTTGTGTTTATTCTTCCTTGTGTTTATTGTTCCTAGTGTTTATTGTTCCTTGTGTTTATTGTTACTTGTGTTTATTGTTTTTATTAGCCTTAACTAAATGGCCCGTATAGTCTTGCGAAGCATTTGAAGGACTGAAAAAAACACAAATATATATTATATATATATGTGTATTGGTCCTCAGAAGGCAAAATATGTAGATCATCACGGTCGAAACTGGTTTAATTACAAAGATTTTAATAGACAATCAAACAAATATTTTGTGCTTCAGAAAAATGCATGACAATTATGAAAGGCTAATTTTTGTTTTCATTTGATAGAAAAGTACTAAGTATATGGTAATTATGCAAGTACAAAAATGTTCTTTGTTACCTTCAATATTTTTTCTCTACAATAACTTCCATGCATATGTATGCAGCATATTTTTCATATACCAAGTATTTATGAATTCTTGAATCAGTTTGTTTCTGATATGGTGGAATATGCGCTATGATTTCTTAAAGTTGCAGTCATTCTTTGAATAAATATAGCTTGTAGGGTAATTTAAGGCCACATCAATTTGATTTCTTGATCTTCGGGCTTTTGGCCAAACTATTAAAGAACACAAATCCATGTTTGCCAATGAACTCCACGTCACCATGTGCTTAACTCCATAACACACAAAGCATTCCAACTTTTCTCTACTCTTATATTATCATTAAACGTTTTAAGGATGTCATATTATTAGAATGCCAAACTAAATTGGTGTTGTTAAAATTTATAGTTATTTTCTTAGATATCGAAATGTCAGTGACGATCATGAAGTAGCTAAGCATTTTTATAGTATTTATGGGCTATACAACTATTTACACATTCAAAAAGGTGTGACATTTGTTTTCAAGTCTGTATTTAAATAGAATACCAAACAATATTTCTTTTTAACTCTAAACATGAAGAGAACATGATGACATTTTTTAAATTTTCTCCCATATTTTGTGACGGTCCTACATGTAGTTCCGGGAGTTTTCAGTATTTTAACATAGTTAGTGTTTCCCCATTTACAAATTTATTGAAGCTGGTCCCCCTTCCAATTTTATGATATATACTAGTATGTAGCTGTTTACATTAGAAGTGTTAATCATATATGCAAAAAAAGAAATGTCATAAGATGTGGGAACGTTTTCGTGATTAATTCATCACCATATTTTCATCATATGCTATTAGATAGACGCTTTTCGCGTCAATACCAATCAAACACTATCCAGTTACGATTATCTTCTTATTTATTAATACCGAAATTACGATTATCATTTTTGCGAGTTACGATTATCATCCCGGATTTTTCGACAGTAATTTTCTAAGCGCTTAGACAATTATAGTGCACTGTTACAATTCAAATATGATGTTATGGTATAGAAAAACCTTGCAGCTGAGTAACTCTTGACAACAAGGGGCTACATTTGAGAAAAATGACTGAAAAGATTTTACCTATTTCTGCCGTCGCCATATTGGGATCGTCGTAATTCCAGTTACGATTATCAGTTTAACATCAGTGAACACAATGCTGGACTTTTTAAAAATGAAGGATAGTCCATAAAAGCCATATACATGTAGCATATATTTCCAACAAGGACTTTGACAAGTACAATGTATCATCTTAAGTTGGGGTTTTAAAGGTAAATCAAAGTGCTTGTAAGCACTGAAGGGTAAAGATTGCTTTAATTTATCAGTGGGAAGTAAAATTAAATATTGCATTGTATAAAGCATTGGTTGTAGTTGATTCAGCTACAATTCTGGACAAAGGAAGATAACTCCAATTTTTAAAGATGACTTTAACAATGACATCATTGATATATTTTTAGAACAGATATTAAATTCCTGTACCTAGCAAAAGTTATGTAATTTTCTTGACAAGTATAACATCATTTTGTGACTTGAATCTGAGCATATATTTCATTGACAAATTTCTGGAAATGTTCATGGATATGATGTATAGAATGTTATGATCAATGCACTATATTTTGTGTATTTCAAAGGTAGTGATAAACCTTGGAAGATTTAGATATCAAGTCAGTATGATAGGGTTTCGATTGCATTTCATGCAATCTTTACCCAAAAGGATTGTGGTAATACATTGTACATGTAATAAGAATAAGAATAGTTATTCAATCGATAAAAAAAAATTACGCTTAGAAGTTTTTACTGGTACATTTCAAGTGACATCTGACCAATCTTTTCTAAACTTTTGTAAGCTGAGGGATGGTTTGAATTGAATAAGGTAGTGAATTCCAATCCATAATCAGGGTAATTGACCTCATTGACCATTGCACCTACAGCAATACAAGGTGCAAAACTAGAATACATGTACATTAATTCATAAATATAAAAATAAGAAAATGTGGTATGATTGTTAATGAGACAACTCTCACCAGGGACCAAATGAAGTAGAAGTTAGCTATTATAGGTCACCATATGGCCTTAGATTCAAAATAAATATAACAAGAGTGAACAGGCTGATATGTCTCACTTGCTTTACCAATAATATCTAAATGTTATGTTGAAAGTTTTTAAGATCAAGGTTTTACTACAGGTATAATATACACTTAACATAATCAGTTCAAGGTCAGATGACATACATGTGCAAGTGATAATCCTTTCACACACCAAAATGAAATGTAGTGGACCTATGGCTTACAGTACATGTATATTAGAAATGGACCTATAGGCTAACCCTGAAAACTTAACTTTGATGAATGAACCATAAAAATGAGGTCTTGGTTAAATGAAAAGGATAGACACTGAAACCTGACAATCATTCCGTACACCAAATCATTGGAACAAGCATTTTAAAAAAAAAGTTGTCTCATTTATTTCATATGCTTTATGCTATTTGGAGATTTTTTGTTTTTCAACTCGGTGCTATTTAGAGGTTGATAATAATACATTGTAAAGACAATTTGTCTATTGTTGAAGAATGAGGGTTAAAATGGCCTTTGAAGATGTCAAATGCCCTCTTTTTGATTTATGAGACTGAGAACGATATCTCTAAATTTTCAAAGCCTTATTGCTTTTTGGGAATCCGGGACACTTGTCCCAAGCTTTTGTGACTCTTGAACTATTCTCTTTTGAAATCATATTATTTTGGAAACGTGTGTGATATCCATTAATGGCGAGGAAATAGTAATAATATGTTTTATATTGGGTTATCTAGTCGATCTCTATCTATCTATCTTCCCGTCAAGGAGTGGACTCATTTTTGAGTGTATATACTCCAGCGTGAGTGAACAGCTAAAATCCTTCAAGTGTGTACAGTTAAAATGACATCTGTATGTACAGTTAAAATCAGTACTGTAATTTAGATGTGGAGTCAGTGTCGACACGCTGACATCTTGGATTTTTTACTTCCTGAGGACTCCTGAGGTTCCTATGCAGGAATCCAACAGATCTGGAGGCTTTTGCTGTGGTCTGGTTAATGTGTTCACGCCAAGACAGGTCCTTACTGATGTATAAACCAAGGTATTTCCCTCCTGGGACGCTTTCAAGGGTGTGGCCGTGCAGATGGTAATTGCATATTGTGGGTTTGCGTTTCTTGCTGATATGGATGGTGGCACATTTCTGTGGGTGGAATGCCATTTGCCAATCGTTTTCCGATTTTTCTAGTTTATCTAGGTCGTCTTGCAGCTTGGTTCACCCTGAAGGAAGCATACCCCACATGTCCCTATTTTTTTTTTTATCTATGCACAAATCCTTGCTATGCACAACTATTTTATGACACTTTTTATCTTGCTTTGTGCACAAATATAATTTAAAAATTACCTAAAGTTGAGATGAACTGGAAGAATATATGATTCTGTTGGCATATAAGAATAATAAAAACTGCCATACATGAAAACTGACAGCCATAATAACACTATAAATACAAATATCACAATGATAAATGTTGTTACAACATTTTTTAACTTGAAAAAACTTTTTTTTGTTGTTTCTTGAAACCAGTCTATGGTGTTTCTTATGAACATCAATATCATTGCAAAAGTTCTGGCTTTGTTTACATCTGAATATTTGTTTCGACCTTTGAACCTTAAAAATGATTTAGTTTCGAACTCATTTAAAAAAAAATCTTATTTTATAAGAAGAGACAACTTTTAATTTTAAATATTTTGAATAATTGAGTTTGTCTATTAATCCGTTTAATATAGAATAACGAGCTAATTAATTAATGTTGATATTTTTTGCGAAACAACAGATAAACTTAGTCCGCCATTTGGTTAATGGCACAATGAAATTAATCTATTTTACTGGTTTCTAGTCTCATTTTTACAACTCTTTTGTATCCATAAAGAGGTACTGATTGATATCACCCAAACAGATACATTTTGTTGAAAAATAATGACTCATAAGGTTATACACTGTAACACATTCTCACACACCATGTCCGTTTTGTCTTTTGACGGTCTGACTAACTGTTGAATATCACGTTTTGACATTATAAACTAGGGGTTGTCTTCATAGCGAACCCAGCAGTCTTTTATTTTCAAATTCTGCCCACGCATCAAGTCAATATTCGATTACCACTGCGAATTTTCATACTGCAGAGATATGCAGGTATGGTTCATCCTTTTCTATTTCATCATGTTCATGATTTAAAGTATTTCACAAAAATGGCTAAATGAATCAAAAGTTCATTTTTTTTTTAAATTCTAAATGAAAACAGTTTGTATCCAAGTAAAAAGAGTAAACTGACTTGGTTTTACATTGGTTATAGTGAAATCCCAGGATAAATAGATTATGATATGGACCAAACTGTGATTAAAGGGAGACCACTGTGTTCTAAATCTAATCAGAGTTGTGCCTTTGAAAGGCAGGACATTCATCAAGACAAGACAATCTAATAATGTATACCTTACATTGTAAATGTTATATTAATTTTAATGCATGAATTTAATCAAATGGAGAATATTTGTCAATTGATGTTAAATTGTTTTAACTTTACAGCCCTCAATTTAGGCTATTAAAACAGTCGCCTGGGCGACCTATAAAGCCTCCAGGTGACCTTAATTTCATTGTTGTTTGCCATTTGGCGACTGGTACTATTTGGACCTGGCGACCGTAAAATTCCGGATAATCAACCTGCCTCCGGTCGTATTTTATTAAGTTTTAATCACAGTCATACGAGCGCTTGAATGTATGCTAAAAATTGAATTTGATTTCACGCATTTCTAATCTTAACAGGGTCTATAATGCGCTTAACTTAACTGGGAATTCAAGGGTCTAGTGTTTTCAAAACAACTACCCAAAACAACGATGTTTCACCAGCTAAGAAACAAAAAGAAGGGGCCGAGAGTTCCTCTATAGAAACTCCGGCTTCTGAAGAGCCAAGTACATCTTCTAATGTTACGATTAAGCGAATAAGAAAAATATTAGAAAATTTTATTGATATGCTTTTTTTACTAGTCTTCATTAGCTCTACTGACTAGACTTTCATAACTAATTTCTAAGGCAAACTGAAATTATTTCCTGGCAACTAAAGTTTTGAATTGGCCACTGAAATTTTATATCTGGTGGCCAAAAGGCAACCTGGTCTTTCAACCTACTTTGAGGGCTGCTTTAAATGAAAAAAATCATATTGTTGTTATTGTGAAATTGTAAAAGAATTTCAGAAATTTCTTGTGTTTTTACAACTTTCCTGAACATACTGGCAATTTTTATCATGTTTAAGCTATTTACCATATATTTTCAGAATTGAGGACTTTTTAGATATCTTGGGTAACAGACCAATTTCAAGTTATTTTTTTCTAAAATCACGTCATTGAACAGTTGACTCATACTGTGGCATAATAAACATAAGCATTATCATATGACATAAAAAAGTCTGGGAATGTGAAAGTCTTCTATTGCATGGAAAATTAAAAAATTGCATATTTCAGAGTAGTATTGATAAAGCTTTAATTAGAGTGAACAATCTTGTGTCGGTCTAATTTTTTTCTCATAGGAATGTCTGACAGACCAAAATGTTTTCAACAGCTATGAAGACCTGGATTCATGTCATGTAATCTTTCTGCTGAGATAATCCATTCACACTAGGTTAGGCCAAAAAGGGAATGCATTTAGGATTTCCAGAAGACATTAAATTTGAGTGCCAATGCTTACATTTTCATGAGAATTTCTCCTTAAACCTTCTTCCAACATATCAGTTGTTGTCAACACTAACTTATTTCATCATATAATGGGGGGCCTCGATGGCAGAGTGGTCTAAGTAGTTACTACTGTAATCACTAGCCAGTCAACACTGAGGTTGTGAGTTCGAACCCCGCTCGTGCTGGTGCACTCAACTCCAATCTTAATTGACTAGGATTGTCAGTTTTCCTATCGAAGGTCGGTGGTTTTCTCCGGGCACTGTGGCTTCCTCCACCAATAAAAACTGGCCGCCACGAAATAGCCCAAAAGTGGCGTTAAAACACCAAAAATCAAAATCAAATCATCATATAATGTGACGGAATTGATCAAAACTTGTTTAATATCATATCTTTGTTAATTGACCATTTGCAAAAGTTCTGGTAATTTGATGTGTATTATATCAGATCCTTTGGCACAACCTACAAAGTTAAGGTTATCTTAAAAATGTAAAAAAAAAAAAAATTAGTTTACTTAAACATTAAATACATGTATTACAAAAATTTTATTTTTTAAGACTTTGAAGATATCCACCTCAAAGTCTTAAAAAATAAAATTTTTAGTTAATACTTAAATATCACATCTATGTATTAATGAAAGCAAACTGATAAAAGTTGACATGATACAAAACTGTTAAAGTAACATGTAGCCAAATGTTTGAGGATTGAATTAAAATATAAAAATAATTTGAAAAAGGACATTTTTGTATTGCGATTCCAAAAGAACTGAAGGGGGCTTGGACAATAATGTATTGTGTTTCTATTGTCTACATGTAATAACCATGTGTTAATTTAAATGTTTGAATTATAGTAATGAAAGGATGATTTTTTTGAGAGAATAACTTAATTGGAAATTTCTTTAGCTGTTTGCTAAAGCTCTTGCATTTAAATCATGATAGAGGCCATCATAGAGCATTTTGATTTATTAAGATTTTTTATTATTGCATATGAGTTTTTACTGTTTTTGATTCAAGTACATGTATTGTAGACAATGGCCCTAGATCAGTCAGGGCAAAAGATTTATCCAGGAGTGACATCTCCCATAAGTTTAGATGGCCCCAAGCCTTTGGATATCAAGCTATCTAACAAACTGGAAGAAGCTATGAGACCATATGGAGTGTTTGAAAGTGATGAAGAATTAGCTCATAGGTAATTCAAACTTTGCCAATTTTCCATCATGAAAGTTGCCATTATCCATTTAGTTTGGATACATACAGAACATATAAAGACGTACGGCATGTCACATGATTTGAAAATGACAGAAAGTCAACAATCAGCTGATTCAAATTGTTAAAACTTTTACAGCTACCAAATGTATGCAATCAAGAAACTACATGTTAATTATCTGTTTCATCTAGTGTGCTTGGTTGAAGAGCTTTCCTCTGTCACTTGAAGAACTTATTAAATGGCTTTAATTATCAAATCTTTAATCTCAACCCTGTTTTCTTACTGAAAGACAGAAAATGGATACTGAAACAATTTTCAGCCAGCTCTGTATGAATTAATTTGTAAATAATGAACTTTCCTTAAATAGACATGAATATGCATGAATATTACTGCCACTAGACATAAGCAAGCATCAATCAATCAAATTTTTATACTACCGCAAAAAAATTTTTGTGGTCGTATATTGGTATGACGCTCTAACTTTAGTTTAAGTGTTCTCAATGAAATTTTACCATAAGGTTCAATACCACAAAAGGAAGGTGGGGATTGATTTTGGGGGTTATGGTACCCACAGTTAAGGAATTAGGGGCCAAAAAGGGGCAAAAAATAAGCATTTTTGTAACTTCCAGACATAACTTGTGTGTAAGTGTATGGATCTCTCTGACATTGTACCACAAGGTTCCATATCACAAAGGGAATGCTGGGATTGATTTTGGGGGTTATTGCCCCCAAATTTTAGGAATTAGGGGCCAAAAAGGGGAAAAAAACAAGCATTTTTCTAGTTTCATGACAATAACTTGTGTGTAAGTGTATGGATCTCTCTGACATTGTATCACAAGGTTCCATATCACAAAGGGAATGCTGGGATTGATTTTGGGGGTAATTGCCTCAAAATTTTAGGAATTAGGGGCCAAAAAGGGGCAAAAAACAAGCATTTTTCTAGTTTCATGACAATATTGTGTGTGTAAGTGTATGGATCTTTATGAAATTGTACTACAAGATTCCATATCACAAAGGGAAAGCTAGAATTGAGTTTGGGGGTAATTGCCCAAAAAGTTTAGGAATAAGGGGCCAAAAATAAGCATTTTTCTAGTTTCCAGACAATAACTTGTGTTCAAATGTATGGATCTCTCTGAAATTGTACTGCAAGGTACCATACCACATAGGGAAGGCTGGGAATAATTTTGGGGGTAATTGCCTCAAAATTTTAGTTATTAGGGGCCATAAAAGGGCAAAAAAACAAGCATTTTTCTAGTTTCAGGACAATAACTTGTGTGTAAGTGTATGGATCTTTATGAAATTGTACTGCAAGGTTCCATATCACAAAGGGAAAGCTGGGTTTGAGTTTGGGGGTAATTGCCTTAAACGTTTAGGAATTTGGGGCCAAAAAGGGGCCAAAAAACAAGCATTTTTCTAGTTTCCAGACAATAACTTGTGTTCAAGTGTATGGATCTCTCTGAAATTGTACTGCAAGGTACCATACCACAAAGGGAAAGCTGGGATTGAGTTTGGGGGTGATGAATCATAAGGGTGTTCAAAAAATTGGGGGGGATTTTTTATTCCTTTTTTTTCTTTAAAATTTTCCATTTTAAATTGGTTATTTCTGATTTATATATAAAAGCAAATAATAATGATATGGTTTGAATAGGTAAATTAGACCACTTTCATTCTGTGTGAGAAACCCATGCTGTGTCAAATATTTAATTACAATCCAAATTCAGTGCTGTATCAAGCTTGAATGTTGTGTCCATACTTGCCCCAACTGTTCAGGGTTCGACCTCTGCGGTCGTATCAAGCTGCGCCCCAGGGGAGCATTTTATTATTTTTTGAAATCAGTTGCCATTATTTTTCATAAAACATGTTAAGAGATTTTTCCACAATTTTACCGAATTTGTTTGCAATTTACACAACATTCCTTTTCAACTTCCAGTTATTATACCCCACGCAACCAGTTGTTGTGGGTAAAATGTTTTTGACCCGTCCGTCCGTCTGTCCGTCCGTCAGTCAGTCCTATTTCTTGTCATCGCAACTCCTCTCAAACCACACAACAGAATTTCACGAAACCTTTTTAGATAATAAGGACATACTATGTAGTTGTGCATATCGACAGGAAATTACGATTCAATTTTTTTTCTAGGAGTTACGCCCCTTTGAACTTATTTACTTTAATGTACTACTGCAACAGTTTGTCATCGCAACTCCTCTCAAACCACACAACAGAATTTCATGAAACCTTTCCAGATAATAAGGACATACTTCGTAGATGTGCATATCGACAGAATATTACGATTCAATTTTTTTTCTAGGAGTTACGCCCCTTTGAACTTATTTACTTTAATGTACTACTGCAACAGTTTGTCATCGCCACTCCTCTCAAACCACACAACAGAATTTCATGAAACCTTTCCAGATAATAAGGACATACTACGTAGATGTGCATATCGACAGGAAATTACGATTCAATTTTTTTTCCAGGAGTTACGCCCCTTTGAACTAATTTGCCTAATATACTACTGCAACCTTTTGTCATCGCAACTCCTCTCAAACCACACAACAGAATTTCATGAAACCTTTTCAGATAATAAGGACATACTACATAGATGTGCATATCAGCAGGAAATTACGATTCAATTTTTTTACCAGGAGTTACGCCCCTTTGAACTTATTTTCCCAATATACTACTGCAACCTTTTGTCATCGCAACTCCTCTCAAACCACACAACAGAATTTCATGAAACCTTTTCAGATAATAAGAACATACTACTTAGATGTGCATATCGACAGGAAATTACGATTCAATTTTTTTACCAGGAGTTACGCCCCTTTGAACTTATTTGCCCAATATACTACTGCAACCTATTGTCATTGCAACTCCTCTCAAACCACACAACAGAAAATCATGAAACTGTGTAGATAATAAGGACATACTATGTAGATGTGCATATTGACAGGAAATTATGATTCAATTTTTTTCTCTGATACAATTTTTTTTATAGTACCAAACTCTTACTTGTCGGGAAAACTGTATGCCTCTTGCCTATAAATTGAACTAAATGACAAACACCATGACTGTCACTGCAATATTACAGAGAACTGTGCCCAGTTATAAACACCAAAACATCACCATAGTAACATAATGGCATTTAGTATAACCCAGGGCTTCCAAAATTATTTTTAGCCAGCCGGACATTTTATATATTATCCCGATTTTAATCCCTTAAGACTAAATAAACAAAGAAAAGGCAATTATGGTAATTAGTTGCCGAGTTGGCCATCCCAATAATTGATATTTAAAAAAAATGATATTAAACTTTCTTTGATCCAAATTCGAAGTTCTGACGTAAACTGTTAAATTGGCAGTGCATCATCCAAAGTGTGCAACATCAGCGTACTTATATCTGCCTTAGACTCTTTATTTGTGCAAAATAACGTTGTCAAAAACTTTACTTTCGTTTTTAAATCTGAAACCGGATGTTATCTTGACAATAGTAAAACATGGACCAGAGACGGATACGTAAATTCCGTGTTGGTTTGCAAAGCATGAATGAGTGTAAGTAGCTCATTCTACGTTATTTCTTCAAGAAAATATTCGAAATAAACGTGAGATAAAGGTATCAATGACAATTTAAGCATTTTTTTATAAGAAATTAGGATGCATAATTAAATTTCACACCTGCGCACATACACATACGCACACGTGTACTAGTTCAAACAGAGACATGTCTCTGGTTCAAACAACGTGGTTATGACGATTTTTCATTTTCACCTTCTTTAATTTTTTCATCAAATCTTATTTGTAAATGTATTTCTGATAATTTAAATCTTTTTGACTAAATTAATTAGATGCAAACTGGTGAAATGTAAGTAAAATAACTTTGAATAGACCGATCAATGTCCGGTTCAAAATGGTTTACCTGTCACCTGAACAGGTAAATTTCAGCTGTTCGACAACTAATTAGCCTTGATTAAAATGAGAAGGTATTAAAATAGGGGTTGTTTTGATAGTACTTAATGATCATGTCACTTTTATGACCGGAAATGTGTGGCTGTTAAAGGCAAAAGGTTTGGTCAAAAAGATCGTGAATTATGTTAAAATGACCATCTTTCAAGAAAGCCTTGAAATCTAAAAAGTAGATGACCGTTTCGTGCTTTGCCCAGCCGGACTTTTACCGGACATTATACAAATGTCCGGAATATATGACCGTTTTGGAAGCCTTGGTATAACCAAGGTTGCAGCTCTGACAATATCTGAATATAATAAGTCATTGTAAAATTAATATGATTGTGGTTTATATTTTGTTAATCATTTTAGAATGGAAGTACTGCACAAGATCAATACTATGGTAAAGAATTGGATCAAAGATGTCAGTCGCCAAAAAGTAAGATAGGAATACTGTTAACTTCATAATATTTTCATGCATTTATTATTGTTAAACAATGGAAAAAATGTGAGATTAATTATCCCTGTTTCATGAATTTCGGCATACAAATAATGGTATCATTATTTCAGGGCTCACCACACCAGATGAGTGAGCAAGATTATTGCCCTATGATTCCCAACTTCGCTCTTAGATGCATCAAGCAAAAATTTGGGTCGCCCTCTATTTTCAGTTAAATTCTCCAATGCCGCCTCATGATTTATAAAAAAATTCTCGATCTGAATGCACGATTCCAATATTCAATGAAATAAACATTTTACTACATTAAACCAAGGCTAAAATTATCCTTAGTTTTAAACATTTATTGCATAATAGTGGCGTTTCATTGTTTATTAACTGTCAACCAGGAAAATTTTAGGGGACAAATTTTTAGGAATCTTCCCTTCTCATATTCAGTAAAATGGAACAGTTCTTAATTAATTAACATGATCAAACTGAAATTGATAAAATCAGTGCACTTCATTTGTCCTTTAACAGAATAATATTCCAGAAGACAAGATTGACTCTTTTGGTGGCAAAGTGTGTACATTTGGTTCCTACAGACTAGGTGTTCATACAAAAGGTAAGTTGGTTCATACAGACTTGGTGTTCATACCAAAGGTAAGTTGGTTCATACAGACTTGGTGTTCATACAAAAGGTAAGTTGGTTCATACAGACTTGGTGTTCATACAAAAGGTAAGTTGGTTCATACAGACTTGGTGTTCATACAAAAGGTAAGTTGGTTCATACAGACTTGGTGTTCATACAAAAGGTAAGTTGGTACATACAGACTTGGTGTTCATACCAAAGGTAAGTTGGCATATAGAGCAAACATGTATAAGGAAAAAAGAACATTGATTAGCATAGATACATAGAATTTAAATACAAAATCACAATACAATTAGACTGTAATAAAGCCGTTGGTTTATAGTATATAATTTAGTTACATGAAAAATAAATAGATCTAACTCATATTGACTTTAATAAATTTTCCAACAGCATTAAGGACCTGGTTGTCTTCACAGGTTAATAAATAAACAAATTTTTGCTGATTGTCCAGTCTAGAAAAATGTGGAATTTTTTGGCAAACAAAGTCAAAGAGAGCATCTCTATCAGAGTTAAATTTTTCACATGAAGTTAAGAAATGGATTCCATCTTAACACAGCCAAAGGAGCATTTTTGCAAATTCTTTCAATTCTTGGAATATTTGAAAAATGGCCAAATTCAATTTGATGCTTATGAGCAGATATACATAATTTGCAAATAGCTGTTCTAAAATCAAAGTCCTTAACCAAAGAGAGATAATTTTCATAACCATGATAACAAAAATTTTGTTTTAATTTCAAATAATTTCTTTGGAGGAAGACACATGGTAATTGATAAAGTATTGTCCAATATGCCTGTTTTGCACTGATGTGATGTTGAGTAGTTATCAATGAATCAATCAGATTGACAATACAACCACATATGCCTGTAATGAGATGATATTATTTAAATAGCTAAGGTGTACATAAGTCATTTTGTTAATTTTTAACACTCTAAATATGTTTTATAGGTGCTGATATAGATACACTGTGTATAGCGCCACGGCATGTAGAAAGATCAGATTTCTTTTCTTCCTTCAATGAAATTCTTGCACAGCAACCAGAAGTGAAAGATTTAAGAGTAAGTTGATGTCGAATACTAGAAACAGAAATTAGATTGTAGTTAAAAGATTTGATAATAAATATATAATATATTTGCAAGACATATACTTGTTGAAAATTAACTTTGAAACCATCTTTGCATAGAAAAATTGATAAGTAGATGACTCATATTTATTTAAGAATAAGTTAAATTTGTTTTCCAATTTGTCCTGAATATGCATGAAATATTTGCATTATCCCTACTTTTATCTGTATGAAGGAAAAAGATTTTTAGTGGCAGAAGAAAAACAGAACTTAGTAGCATCTTATACCTTATTTTAACAATAAAAGGGCATGTACCAGTACTAAACCGGGGTAACAGGTCAAGATGAAGTTAAATAACTGTCCCAAAATAGTAACACATATTTTATTCCAATGCATAACATTTTGTTTATAATTTTCTTGTGTATTGAATCATCATTACAGGCTATAGAGGAAGCTTTTGTCCCTGTTATAAAGATGGAGTTTGATGGAATAGAGGTAAGGTTCTTTGTAGAAGTTAGCTGAGCCAAAACAAAAAAGATTGAGATTCAATAAGAGATTTATTTTAAAAAAAAATTCGTAAGGGTTCTACGGAACCCAGTGTCTCGCCTACTTTTTCTGTTAATCGCAGGCTCAACAAAAATGAGGAAGTAAATCAATAAAAATATTCCTCTTGATACTATCTTTTGATTGTAAGAACTTTCTGTCCAAGTTTGGTAAAAATCCAGGATAGTTTATGAATCTAATAAATGTTTAAAAACTTTATCTGCAGACTGAATGTAATGTTAACTTGAAGAAAACAAAATTTCCTTCTAGATACTAGCATTTGATCATAAACAAGCTTCTGTTAAAGTTTGGTGCAAATCCAAAATAGTATAAGAAAGTTATTAAAATTTAAAAAACTTTAACCACAGAGTGAATGTGTTGTTTCCTGACAGGAAATCTAAGTCCATTTAAAAGTAAAATACGGAAAAAATGGATTTATTATTTTACAAAATTTCCTTCTAGATACTAGCTTTTGATCATAAACAAGCTTCTGTCCAAGTTTGGTACAAATCCAAAATAGTATAAGAAAGTTATTAAAATTTTAAAAACTTTAACCACAGAGTGAATGTGTTGTTTCCTGGCAGAAAATCTAAGTCCATTTAAAAGTAAAATACGGAAAAAATGGATTTATTATTTTACAAAATTTACTTCTGGATACTATCTTATGATCATAAACAAGCTTCTGTCCAAGTTTGGTAGAAACCCAGGATAGTTTAAGAAAGTTATTAAAATTTTAAAAACTTTAACCACAGAGTGAATGTAATATTTCCCGGCAGAAAAACTAAGTCCATTTATAAGTAAAATACGGAAAAAATGGAATTTTATTTTTACAAAATTTACTTCTGGATACTATCTTATGATCATAAACAAGCTTCTGTCCAAGTTTGGTAGAAATCCAAGGTAGTTTAAGAAAGTTATTAAAATTTCAAAAACTTTAACCACAGAGTGAATATTTGTGGACGCCGACGACGACGACGACGCCGACGCCGACGCCGACGGAATGTAGGATCGCTATGTCTCGCTTTTTCGACTAAAGTCGAAGGCTCGACAAAAAGAAGTACGCTTCAGTTTTGGTGGATTAAGCCTTTTCCATCTATCCACTGTGGGTAGTCCACTCATATTTAATATCAAATTTGGTAAAAATATTGAATACAAAAGCTTTACTTATTTTTTCAAGATATTGTTTAGTCTGATGATACTTTTAAAAAATGGTTGTGGTCATTTTTGGGTCTTTTATAGCTGGCTATGCGGTATTGGCTTTGCTCATTGTTGAAGGCTGTACAGTGACCCATAGTTGTTAATTTCTGTGTCATTTGGTCTCTTGTTGAGAGTTGTCTCATTGGCAATCATACCACATCTTCTTTTTATATGTCTACTCTAAATGTCCTGCACAGGGGACATTTAAGTTTTAGCCTCTCCTATCATTGATGGGTGGAAATGACAAACATCCACTTGAGTGGTAGTGTAGCTTTACAAGGACAAACCATGACTTGACCGTACTAGAAAAACATGTTCATTTCAACATTGTGATACGAGGGAATATAATGTTGATCCTTATGTCAAATAATCTCCTCATTTTTAGTCCATCTTTTTATGCGACCGCAAAATTTTTTGGTGTCACGTTGTCGTCTTCGTCGTCCGAAGACATTTGGTTTCCGGACAATAACTTTAGTATTAAAATAAATAGAAATCTATGAAATTTAAAGATAAGGTTTATGACCACAAAAGGAAGGTTGGGATTGATTTTTGGGGTTATGGTCCCAACAGTTTAGGTATAAGGGGCCAAAAAGGAGCCCAAATAAGCATTTTTCTAGTTTCATGACAATAACTTGTGGAACAGTGTATGGATCACTCTGAAATTATACCTCAAGTTTCCATACCACAAAGGGATGGTTAGGATTGGCTTTGGGGGGTTATGGCTCAAACTGTTTAGGAATTAGGGGCAAAAAAGTGAGAAAAAACAAGGGTGTCCTGGTTAATGGACAATTACTTAAGTACAAATTACAGTGTAAGGGAGGTAAATCAAACACAACTTTGAATTACCTCCCTAACACTGCTTTTAAATTATGTATAAAGAATTTTTGTATTGTCTTGAGGTGATTAGCTGTCAATTTTAGAAGTTACTATTTTAATAATTTTAAAAATGCTGATTAAGGTAAATTAATTTTAGCTATGATTATGTATGTCATTTTCTATTTTAAGACATTTATGATGTATTTAAATGGGTTATTATGGTTGCAAACTCCAATGGAAATTTGAATTGAAATTATGACCATGACTGAGGGAAAGAATTTTTTTTTTTGGAAAAAGGGGGGGGGGGGGGGGGGGGGTAAAAAAAATTAATGGTGGTGGGGGACAATTTGTTCTCAAGATTTCAGAAATCAATAAGAAAATCCTTCAAATTCAATCGGGGGGGGGGGGGGGGGGGGGGTCAATTTGCAACAGCATAGTGTATAGCACAAAAGCAAAAAATTGAATATAAATTCAAATTTTATAACCAATTCTAAGTTCTTTGACTACAGTTATTCTGTGTCAGAAACCTATTATGTGTCAAATATTGAATTACAATCCAAATTCAGACCTGTATCAAGCGCGAATATTGTGCCCATTTTTGCACCAACTGTTCAGGGTTGGACCACTGTGGTCGTATCCAGCTGCGCTCGGCGAAGCAATTTATTTTATTTAAAAAAAATTCTCATGTCCTGATTAAATCTTGTATTTCTACAAAGAAAGTATTGAACTGTCAAAATTATCTGTCAGGGCTATCCTAGAATTAAATGTATGTGAAAAGGAGGGGGGGGGGGTTGTTTGATGGCCTTTTTTTTCCCGGACCCACACAGATGCAATTTTGATAAGAAATTCATTGTGTTCTTGTTTGAAAATTTGATTCCAACCTCACTACCCCTATATTATTAATAGTATGTGCGTTCCAATCCCCTATCGCTTTCAAACCTAAATTTGATATATTCCAAGCCTAAGAAATTGATATTTCGGAGAGAAAAAATATCCAACTGCCATAGAGTGTTGTCTTAGCTTTGTAAGATAGTGGAAATGTTATGAAACTTATACACAATGCTTATTACCACAAAACACATATGAAGTTTGAAATTGGGTGCCGTCACTTTTACCGTTCTTTAGTTATGCCCTTTATAAATGGAAAAATTGCTAAATCTGTCGTTTCCATTATGTAACTTTAGTTTGCCTTTAGTTTGCCTTTATATATAAAAAAGAAGATGTGTTATGATTGCCAATGAGACAACTCTCCACAAGAGACCAAATGACACACAGTCTGTCAGGGCTATTCTTTAGTTTGCCTCAACCAAATGTTATAAAACTTATACACAATGCTTATTACAATAAAACACAGATCAAGTTCGAAATTGGGTGGTGTCACTTTTGCAATTGGTACATTGACTCATGCAAGCGGGGGCATCTGTGGCCCATAGGCACATTCTCCATTTATTTTCCAATGATGCATCCATATTTAAAAATAATATTTGATCATGTTTTATTCTGATTCCAGCTTGATATGACATTTGCCAGATTAGCTCTGCCACAGATAGCTGATGACATTGATTTAAGAAGTGAAGCCTTGTTAAAAAATCTTAATGAAAAATGTGTTCGAAGTTTGAATGGTAAATATATTTAGTTTTTGAAAGACTGCCAATAATAATATATGCATTAAATTTGGAATTCATAGTTATTTGGAATTTATAAAACCATCAGTTGTTTCCAGAAATTGCAAAAAAACATTTTAGAAATACAAAGTTACATTGTGAACTAGGTGTTAATATTCCAACTCAGCATGTCGTTCTAGAACAAAGCAGAGTTCATATTCAAATCACTATAACATGCTTGTTTTCTAATATGCATTTAATGTAATTATTGCTGCAGAACATTACACATCAATCCATTATCACCATCAACTTTTGCTCTATAATTGTATGGTCTAATTAGCTAAAAAAAAAAAAAAAAAATCTTCAATGTTCTTTGTACAGCCTCCAGAGGTTAAGCTAACAACAATCAATAAATCCCTGTACACTGTCAAGTATATGTTCTATTAGATGACTAATTACACTTGCTATGAACTTGATTATGCTCAAGTATGAATTCTGTTAGATGACTAATTACACTTGCTATGAACTTGATTATGCTCAAGTATGAATTCTGTTAGATGACTAATTACACTTGCTTTGAACTTGATTATGCTCAAGTATGAATTCTGTTAGATGACTAATTACACTTGCTATGAACTTGATTATGCTCAAGTATGAATTCTGTTAGATGACTAATTACACTTGCTATGAACTTGATTATGCTCAAGTATAAATTCTGTTAGATGCCTAAATACACTTGCTATGAACTTGACTATGCTCAAGTATGAATTCTGTTAGATAAATAAATACACTTGCTATGAACTTGATTATGCTCAAGTATAAATTCTGTTAGATGACTAAATACACTTGCTATGAACTTGATTATGCTCAAGTATGAATTCTGTTAGATGACTAATTACACTTGCTATGAACTTGATTATGCTCAAGTATGAATTCTGTTAGATGACTAATTACACTTGCTATGAACTTGATTATGCTCAAGTATAAATTCTGTAAGATGCCTAAATACACTTGCTATGAACTTGACTATGCTCAAGTATGAATTCTGTTAGATAAATAAATACACTTGCTATGAACTAGATTATGCTCAAGTATGAATTCTGTTAGATGACTAATTACACTTGCTATGAACTTGATTATGCTCAAGTATAAATTCTGTTAGATGCCTAAATACACTTGCTATGAACTTGACTATGCTCAAGTATGAATTCTGTTAGATAAATAAATACACTTGCTATGAACTTGATTATGCTCAAGTATAAATTCTGTTAGATGACTAAATACACTTGCTATGAACTTGATTATGCTCAAGTATGAATTCTGTTAGATGACTAATTACACTTGCTATGAACTTGATTATGCTCAAGTATAAATTCTGTTAGATGACTAAATACACTTGCTATGAACTTGATTATGCTCAAGTATGAATTCTGTTAGATGACTAAATACATTTGCTATGAACTTGATTATGCTCAAGTATAAATTCTGTTAGATGCCTAAATACACTTGCTATGAACTTGACTATGCTCAAGTATAAATTCTGTTAGATGCCTAAATACACTTGCTATGAACTTGATTATGCTCAAGTATGAATTCTGTTAGATGACTAATTACACTTGCTATGAACTTGATTATGCTCAAGTATGAATTCTGTTAGATGACTAATTACACTTGCTATGAACTTGATTATGCTCAAGTATAAATTCTGTTAGATACCTAAATACACTTGCTATGAACTTGACTATGCTCAAGTATGAATTCTGTTAGATAAATAAATACACTTGCTATGAACTTGATTATGCTCAAGTATGAATTCTGTTAGATGACTAAATACACTTGCTATGAACTTGATTATGCTCAAGTATAAATTCTGTTAGATGACTAATTACACTTTCTATGAACTTGATTATGCTCAAGTATAAATTCTGTTAGATGCCTAAATACACTTGCTATGAACTTGATTATGCTCAAGTATGAATTCTGTTAGATGCCTAAATACACTTGCTATGAACTTGATTATGCTCAAGTATGAATTCTGTTAGATGACTAAATACACTTGCTATGAACTTGATTATGCTCAAGTATGAATTCTGTTAGATGACTAAACACACTTGCTACGGACATGATTATGCTCAAGTATGAATTCTGTTAGATGACTTATAGTAAAAAGGTATTAACCTGATAGTACAAAGGCAAACCTGATTATAGAAATAATTTGATATAAATTGTGTATTTTTTAGGTTGTAGAGTGACAGATGAAATTTTACATTTAGTTCCTGATAAGGATGCCTTCAGAATGACATTACGAGCCATAAAATTATGGGCAAAAAGTAAGTTGCGAACATGCTTGTATGTTGTAAGTACAATAATGTATATGCAGAAATCTAGAATGTGTGATAACTTGTGATTTTTATACGACCGCAAAAAAATTTTTGTGGTCGTATATTGGTATGACGTTGGCGTCGTCGTCGTCCGGCGTCGTCCGAAGACACATTGGTTTTCGCACTCTAACTTTAGTTTAAGTGAATGGATCTTTATGAAATTTTACCACAAGGTTCAATACCACAAAAGGAAGGTTGGGATTGATTTTGGGGGTTATGGTAATAACAGTAAAGGAATTAGGGGCCAAAAAGGGGCCAAAAATAAGCATTTTTGTAACTTCCAGACATAACTTGTGTGTTAGTGTATGGATCTCTCTGACATTGTACCACAAGGTTCCATATCACTAAAGGAATGCTGGGATTGATTTTGGGGGTAATTGCCTCCAAATTTTAGGAATTAGGGGCCAAAAAAGGGGCAAAAAACAAGCATTTTTCTAGTTTCATGACAATAACTTGTGTGTAAGTGTATGGATCTTTCTGAAATTGTACTACAAGGTTCCATATCACAAAGGGAAAGCTGGGTTTGAGTTTGGGGGTAATTGCCCTAAATGTTTAGGAATTTGGGGCCAAAAAGGGGCCAAAAAACACATTTTTTTCTAGTTTCCAGACAATAACTTGTGTTCAAGTGTATGGATCTCTCTGAAATTGTACTGCAAGGTACCATACCACAAAGGGAAGGCTGGGATTGAGTTTGGGGGTGATGAATCATAATGGGGGTTCAAAAAATTTTGGGGGGGGGATTTATTTTTTTTTTCCTTTTTTTTCTTTTTTTCCTTTTTTGTTTCTTTTAAAATTTTCCATTTTAAGTTGGTTATTTCTGATTTATATTTAAAATCAAATAATAATGATATGGTAGGAGATACACACCAAACAGGATGTGTAAATTATTATATAATAAGTATTGTGCAATAGCAAGAAATTTTCAATTGCACAGTATTGCACAATAGCAAGAAATCTTCAATTGCACAGTATTGCGCAATAGCAAGAAATCTTCAATTGCACAGTATTGCGCAATAGCAAGAAATATCCAATAGCACAATATTGCGCAATAGCAAGAAATTGTCAATTGTACAGTATTGCGCAATAGCAAGAAATATTTAATAGCACAGGATTGTGCAAAAGAAGATACTTCCTATAAATTGCTTATTTCTTGACCAATTTCAATGGGGTTTTATTCTTGATTTCATGGGGTTCTTTAATATGCTGAAAATAACCGTGTATTTAGTTTTTGGATTTTGGGCCCCGTTTTTAAATTGGTCCACATTGAGGTCCAAAGGGTCCAAAATTAAACTTTGTTTGATTTCATCAAAAATTGAATTATTGGGGTTCTTTGATATGCCAAATCTAACTGTGTATTTAGATTCTTAAATTTTGGTTCCGTTTTCAAATTGGTCTACATTAAGGTCCAAAGGGTCCAAAATTAAACTTAGTTTGATTTTAACAAAAATTGAATTCTTAGGGTTCTTTGATATGCTGAATCTAAACATGTATTTAGATTTTTGATTATGGGCCCAGTTTTCAAGTTGGTCCAAATCGGGGTCCAAAATTAAACTTTGTTTGATTTCAACAAAAATTGAATATATGGGGTTCTTTGATATGCTGAATCTAACCATGTATTTAGATTTTTGATTTTTGGGCCCCGTTATCAACTTTGTCCACATTGAGGTCAAAAGGGTCCAAAATTAAACTTTGTTTGATTTCATCAAAAATTGAATTATTGGGGTTCTTTGATATGCCAAATCTAACCGAGTATTTAGATTCTTAATTTTTGGTTCCGTTTTCAAATTGGTCTACATTAAGGTCCAAAGGGTCCAAAATTAAACTTAGTTTGATTTTAACAAAAATTGAATTCTTAGGGTTCTTTGATATGCTGAATCTAAACATGTATTTAGATTTTTGATTATGGGCCCAGTTTTCAAGTTGGTCCAAATCGGGGTCCAAAATTAAACTTTGTTTGATTTCAACAAAAATTGAATATATGGGGTTCTTTGATATGCTGAATCTAACCATGTATTTAGATTTTTGATTTTTGGGCCCCGTTATCAACTTTGTCCACATTGAGGTCAAAAGGGTCCGAAATTAAACTTTGTTTGATTTCATCAAAAATTGAATTCTTGGGGTTCTTTGATATGCTGAATCTAACCATGTATTTAGATTTTGGATATTGGACCATAATAGGTGAATGTCCAATTTAAAATTTTTAAGTTCTTAGACCACATTCAATCTGTGTTAGAAACCTATGCTGTGTCAAATATTTAATCACAATCCAAATCCAAAGCTGTATCAAGCTTGAATGTTGTGTCCATACTTCCCCCAACTGTTCAGGGTTCGACCTCTGCGGTTGTATCAAGCTGCGCCCTGCGGAGCATTTTATTTTATTAAGATAAGACTTTTTATACGACCGCAAAAAAATTTTGTGGTCGTATATTGGTATGACGTTGGCGTCGTCGTCGTCGTCGTCCGGCGTCGTCGTCGTCGTCGGGCGTCGTCGTCCGAATACATATTGGTTTTCGCACTCTAACTTTAGTTTAAGTGAATGGATCTTTTTGAAATTTGACCATAAGGTTAAATACCACAAAAGGAAGGTTGGGATTGATTTTGGGGGTTATGGTACCAACAGTTAAGGAATTAGGGGCCAAAAAGGGGCCAAAAATGAGCATTTTCTAGTTTCCAGACAATAACTGTGGAACGGTGTATGGATCTCTCTGAAATTATACTACAAGTTTCCATACCACAAAGGGATGGTTAGGATTTGCTTTGGGGGGTATGGCTCAAACCGTTTAGGAATTAGGGGCAAAAAAGGGGGAAAAACAAGGTTGTCCTGGTTAATGGACAAATACTTTAGTACAAAACATAATTTAAAGCAGTGTAAGGGAGATAAATCAAATACATCATTGAAATTATCTCCCTTACACTGCTTTTAAATTATGTATAAAGTAATGGTTAATGAACAATAAAGATAATCTAAAACAGTGTAAGGGAGGTAATCCAAATACAACGTTTTGGTTACTTCCCTTACACTGCTTTTAAATTATGTTTAAAGAAATGCATATTTATAAAGGAAGACCAGTAAAAATATCTGCAAATGTTTTCATCTTTTTTTTTTTCAAAAAAATCCATATGAAAGATTTGACACTATATTTTTATTAATTCTATTATAAAATAGATTAAGTTAGCACTATGGTAAATTTAAATGGGTAATTATGGTTGCCAACTCCATTGGAAATTTGAATTGAGATTATGACCATATCTTGAGGGAAAGAATTTTTTTGGGGGAAAAAGGGGGGGGGGGGGATAAAAAGAAATTGTGGGGGGCCAATTTTTTCTCATTTCAGATTTCAGAAATTAAAAAGAATTATTCTTCAAATATTATTTTTTTTTCAAATTTCAAATATTGAAAAATTTCAAGAAGTAATCTTTAATTGCACAGTATGTCGCATTAGATTTGTAAAATCTTTGATCACATTTATTTATTTGTTATGCCGAATCTAACAGTGTATTTAGATTTTTAATTTTGGGTCCAGTTTTCAAATTGGTCTACATTAATGTCCAAAGGGTCCAAAATTAAACTTTGTTTGATTTTAGCAAAAATTGAATATATGAGGTTCTTTGATATGCTGAATCTAAACATGTATTTAGATTTTTGATTTTTGGCCCAGTTTTCAAGTTGGTCCAAATTGGGGTCCAAAATTAAACTTTTGTTTGATTTCAACAAAAATTGAATATATGGGGTTCTTTGATATGCTGAATCTAACCATGTATTTAGATTTTTTATTTGTGGACCCCGTTATCTAATTGGTTCATATTGAGGTCAAAAGGGTCCAAAATTAAACTTTGTTTGATTTCATCTAAAATTGAATTATTGGGGTTCTTTGATATTCCAAATCTAACCATGTATTTAGGTTTTTAATTTTGGGTCCTGTTTTTTAAATTGGTCTACATTAAGGTCCAAAGGGTCCAAAATTAAACTTAGTTTGATTTTGACAAAAATTGAATTCTTGGGGTTCTTTGATTTGCTGAATCTAAACATGTGTTTAGATTTTTGATTATGGGCCCAGTTTTCAAGTTGGTCCAAGATAGGGTCCAGTATTTAAACTTTGTTTGATTTCAACAAAAATTGAAAATATGGGGTTCTTTGATATGCTGAATCTAAACATGTATTTAGATTTTTGATTATGGGCCCAGTTTTCAAGTTGGTCCAAATTGGGGTCCAAAATTAAACTTTGTTTGATTTCAACAAAAATTGAATATATGAGGTTCTTTGATATGCTGAATCTAACCATGTATTTAGATTTCTTATTTGTAGGCCCCACTATCAAATTGGTTCATATTGAGGTCAAAAGGGTCCAAAATTAAACTTTGTTTGATTTCATCGAAAATTGAATTATTGGGGTTCTTTGATATGCCATATCTAACCGTGTTTTTAGATTTTTAATTTGGGTCCCGTTTTTTAAATTGGTCTTCATTGAGGTCCAAAGGGTCCAAAATTAAACTTAGTTTGATTTTAACAAAAATTGAATTCTTGGGGTTCTTTGATATGCTGAATCTAAACATGTGTTTAGATTTTTGATTATGGGCCCAGTTTTCAAGTTGGTCCAAGTTGGGGTCCAAAATTAAACTTTTTTTGATTTCAACAAAAATTGAATATATGGGGTTCTTTGATATGCTGAATCTAACCATGAATTTAGATTTTTATTTGTGGGCCCCTCTATCAAATTGGTTCATATTGAGGTCAAAAGGGTCCAAAATTAAACTTTGTTTGATTTCATCAAAAATTGAATTATTGGGGTTCTTTGATATTCCAAATCTAACCGTGTATTTAGATTTTTAATTTTAAGTCCCGTTTTTATACGACCGCAAAAAAATTTTGTGGTCGTATATTGGTATGACGTTGGCGTCGTCGTCGTCGTCGTCGTCGTCGTCGTCGTCGTCGTCGGCGTCCGGCGTCGTCGTCCGAATACACAATGGTTTTCGCACTCTAACTTTAGTTTAAGTGAATGGATCTCTATGAAATTTTACCATAAGGTTCAATACCACAATAGGAAGGTGGGGATTGATTTTGGGGGTTATGGTACCAATAGTTAAATAATTAGGGGCCAAAAAGGGGCCGAAAATAAGCATTTTTGTAACTTCCAGACATAACTCGTGTGTTATTGTATGGATCTCTTTGACATTGTACTACAAGATTCCATATCACAAAGGGTCGATGATGGGATTGATTTTGGGGTTAATTTCCTCGAAATTTTAGGAATAAGGGGCCAAAAGGGGGCAAAAAACAAGCATTTTTCTAGTTTCATGACAATAACTTGTGTGTAAGTGTATGGATCTTTCTGAAATTTTACTACAAGGTTCCATTTCGCAAAGGGAAAGCTGGAAATGAGTTTTGTGGTAATTGCCCAAAACGTTTAGTAATAAGGGGCCTAAAAAGGGGTGAAAAATAAGCATTTTTTAGTTTCTAGACAATAACTTGTGTTCAAGTGTATGGATCTCTCTAAAATTGTATTACAAGATACCATACCACAAAGGCAAGGCTGTTATTGAGCTTGGTTTGGGGGGGAAGGGGGGGTGATGAATCATAGGGGGGGGGGTCAAAAAAGGGGTAATTATTTTTTTTCGTTTAAGGAATAAGGGGAAAAAAGGTTAAAAAACTAGGGTTTCCATTTTAATAGACAAATAATTGAGTAAAGAACATTATTTAAAAGCAGTGTAAGGTTGGTAATTCAAACTCATTTAAATATCTCACCTGCACTATGTTTGAATTATGTAAATTGGAAATTTGCCAATTATTTTAGTATAATAAACTTCATTGGAAATTTGCCAATTTTATATTGGAAATTTACCAATAGTTTGTTTATTTTTAGCTATGACTATGATGTCATTTTCTATTTAATTTTAAGGTTACAAATTAATTTCAGTTTTAAATATTATTGTAAAATGTTTGCCCAAAACATTTATTAATAAGTGGCCAAAAAAGGGGGCAAAAATAAGCATTTTTTTAGTTTCCAGACATTAACTTGTGTTCAAGTGTATGGATTTCTCTGAAATTGTACTTAAAGGTACCATACCACAAAGGGAAGTGGGTTAAAAAATTTGGGGGGGGGGGGGATTTTTTTTCCTTTTTTTTTCTTTAAAATTTTCCATTTTAAGTTGGTTAATTCTGATCACAAAGAGAAAGTTGGAATTGAGTTTGGGGGATAATTGCTCAAATGTTTAGGAATAAGGGGCTAAAAAAGGGGTTAAAAATAAGCATTTTTTTTTAGTTTCCAGCAATTAATTATATTGTGTTTAAGTAATTGGATCTCTGTGAAATTGTACTGCAAGGTACCATACCACAAACTGAAGGCTGGGATTGAGTTTGGGGGGGCGTGATGTGTGAAAATTTTCCACTTAAAGTTGGTTAATTATTTCTGATTTAGATATAAAAGCAAATAATAATGATGTGGTTTGATTTTATCAAAAACTTAAATTGAAGTTATGTATATTGTAAATTTAGGTTACATTGGAATTTAAGAATTGGCTTTGGGGTAGGGTTATGGCTCAAACCTTTAAATAATAAGGGAAAAAAAGGTGAAAAAACAAGGGTTTCCAGGTTAATAGACAAATAAGTACAAAACATTATTTAAAAGCAGTGTAAGGTTGGTAATTCAAACTCATTTAAATATCTCACTTACACTGCTTTTAAATTATGTAAATTGGAAATTTGCCAATAACTTTATTGTTAATAAATGCATTGGAAATTTGCCAACAATTTTAGTATAATAAACTTCATTGGAAATTTGCCAATATAAAATTTTGCTGATGAAGGTTTTTTGTTTACCTTTAGCCTTGACTATGAAGTCATTTTCTATTTTTATAGCCTTATGATGTAGTTGAATTATTTAATACTTTTATGATGTGTTTAAATGGGGTTTTATGGTTGCAAATTTATTGTTTTAGTTTAATAAACTCCATTTAAAATTTGGTAATAAAAAAAATTTTTGTTTATTTTTAGCTATGATTATGATGTCATTTTCTATTTTACTTTTATGGTTGCAAAGAAATTTTTATTTTTAGATATTACTGTTAAATGATGCTGATTAAGGTTTTTGCTATGTTTAGCCATGACTATGATGTCATTTTCTATTTTAATATCTGTCATGATGTATTTAAATGGGCTTTTATGGTTACAAAGGAATTTTATTTTTAGATATTACTGTAAAATGTTGCTGATTAAGGATTTTGTTTATTTTTAGCCATGACTATGATGTCATTTTCTATTTTAATACCTTTATTATGTAATTTCCATTTTTAGATATTACTGTTAAATGATGCTGATTGAGGGTTTGAATGCTGGGATTGATTTTGGGGGTAATTGCCTCCAAATTTTAGGAATTATGGGGGCAAAAAACAAGCATTTTTCTAGTTTCATGACAATAACTTGTGTGTAAGTGTATGGATATTTATGAAATTGTACTACAAGGTTCCATATCACAAAGGGAAAGCTGGAATTGAGTTTGGGGGTACTTGCCCAAAACGTTTAGGAATAAGGGGCCAAAAATAAGCATTTTTCTAGTTTCCAGACAATAACTTGTGTTCAAGTGTATGGATCTCTCTGAAATTATACTGCAAGGTACCATACCACAAAGGGAAGGCTGGGATTGTTTTTGGGGGTAATTGTCTCAAAATGTTAGGAATTAGGGGCCATAAAGGGGCAAAAAACAAGCATTTTTCTAGTTTCATGACAATAACTTGTGTGTAAGTGTATGGATCTTTATGAAATTGTACTGCAAGGTTCCATATCACAAAGGGAAAGCTTGGTTTGAGTTTGGGGGTAATTGCCCTAGACTTTTAGGAATTTGGGGCCAAAAAGGTACAAAAAACCCAAGCATTTTTCTAGTTTCCAGACAATAATTTGTGTTCTAGTGTATGGATCTCTCTGAAATTGTACTGCAAGGTACCATACCACAAAGGGAAGGCTGGGATTGAGTTTGGGGGTGATGAATCATAAGGGGGTTTCAAAAAATTTGGGGGGGGGATTTTTTTTCCTTTTTTTTCTTTAAAATTTTCCATTTTAAATTGGTTATTTCTGATTTATATATAAAAGCAAATAATAATGATATGGTTTGAATAGGTAAATTAAAAAATTTTAAGTTCTTAGACTACTTTCATTCTGTGTGAGAAACCTATGCTGTGTCAAATATTTAATTACAATCCAAATTCAGTGCTGTATCAAGCTTGAATGTTGTGTCCATACTTGCCCCAACTGTTCAGGGTTCGACCTCTGCGGTCGTATCAAGCTGCGCCCCAGCGGAGCATTTTATTTAAATTGGTCTACATTAAGGTCCAAAGGGTCCAAAATTAAACTTAGTTTGATTTTAGCAAAAATTGAATTCTTGGGGTTCTTTGATATGCTGAATCTAAACATGTGTTTAGATTTTTGATTATGGGCCCAGTTTTCAAGTTTGTCCAAGTTGGGGTTCAAAATTAAACTTTGTTTGATTTTAACAAAAATTGAATATATGGGGTTCTTTGATATGCTGAATCTAACCATGTATTTTGATTTTCGACATTGGACCATAATAGGTAAATTAAAAAAATTCAAGTTCTTAGACCACATTCTTTCTGTGTCAGAAACCTATGCTGTGTCAAATATTTAATAACAATCCAAATTCAGAGCTGTATCAAGCTTGAATGTTGTGTCCATACTTGCCCCAACTGTTCAGGGTTCGACCTCTGCGGTCGTATCAAGCTGCGCCCCAGCGAAGCATTTTATTAATCAATAATATAGCATTAGCTTTTAAATTGAAGATGAAGCAGAGAGACACTTTTTTATATATTCCACCAACAGTATACTGTGGATTCATAGTTTTTCTCAGGTTACTTTTTGTGGATTTATTACGTAGAGAAACCAGGAATTTAAGTATTCAACAGATTGTTAATTTCTTATTGGCTTGTATGGAGAATTTGATAATACCATGAAATTTATAAAGTATGCATGAAAATTTTTCCTTAATCCATACAAATTGATGCCTACAAAAATAAACTGAGTCCACAGTAATAGTTTTATATTTTGTTAAAAAAGATAAGTTTCTGTGGATTCATTGTTGTATATATGTTGTACATTGTAATTTATATTTTGTTTGTCACAAGCTTTACTTTATATGCTTTACGACAATAAAGATTATTAATAATTATTATTCGTGGGATACCAATTTTTGTTGATTACGTTGATAAAGGTCAACCATGAATTTTAATGTTCAACATATTTCAATTTTATATTGGTTTTGTATACTTTGGCAAAATTACGAAAAATCTAAAAATCTACGAAAACACAATTTTTTCTCAATCCACGAAAGTTGGTATCCAAGAAATAAATGAATTACACAGTATTGGACTTTGTTCATTTTTCTTAATTAAGACATTGCCCTAGATATATGTATACTTTGAGTAAGTGAGAAAAGCATAGGAGAAGCTGACTTGAATTGTTTTTAGCATTTTTGGCATTTACATAAAGGGTCTTTAAAGTTATACAACTATGCTAACGTTTCATTTCAGAAAGAGGAATATACTCCAATGTGTTAGGTTTCCTAGGTGGTGTATCCTGGGCCATGTTGGTAGCCAGAGTTTGTCAGCTCTATCCAAATGCAGCACCAGCAACTTTAATACATAAATTTTTCATGGTATTTTCAAAGTGGTAAGTGAAATAATTGACACATTTTCAGTGGTTAAATTATTCGTATTTTGGGAAATTTTGTGTTAGTAATAGATCCCTGCAGTCTTTGTTAAATCTGTTCACTACGTCTAGTTTCTTGATAATTGTGTTTTGTTGAGGAATGTATGTTGACCTCCTGACATCATTTGATTTCTTTGTTTTGTTGGGTCACTATCTCATTGACATATACTCCACATCTCCTTTTATTCTTATGGAATACTGAGTCCTGAAACTTTTGCAAGGCTTAGTCTTAGAGAAAAATGATCATGGTAAATTTTGTCAAGAGAGTTTTAATAGATATAAATTGCCAAAATATATAAACACTAAATATATCAAAACTTAAGTTTGTAATCAATCTTGCAAGAATCGAAGTGTTTTACCAATTTTCGTACACGTCACCAGAAAGGGAGATAATTAAGGACATTTAGAATTATGATAAATGATGTCATAATAGTTCATTAAATAGTTATTTATACTTCAATGAAATTGTAATTATATAGAAATTGGTACACTGAATGCAGTTAATTCAGTCATGAGAGGACTATAATATTTAATGATTTTATTGAGAAGAGAATAAAAAAATATTTCAAAGGGAGATAATTTGTTCAGTATGCAAGACTATTAAAAGTCAGCATAACAGGTTGTTTCTAAAACATTAATTACAGACACTAGGTTGCTTTTCTACAATTGTATTATTTTACTAAAAGAAAGAGCTGAGTTACAATAATCAATCACTGTTATGCCCCACCTAGGGGCATTATGTTTTTCGGTCTGTGCGTCCATTCGTCCATCAGTTCGTCAATCTGTCCGTCTGTCCCGCTTCAGGTTAAAGATTTTGGTCAAGGTAGTTTTTGTTTAGTTATGTTTTTATTTCATAGATGTGTGATATTTATTGTAGGGACTGGCCTCAACCTGTTCTGTTAAAACAGTTACTACAGGAAAACAAACTTGGTTTCCCTGTTTGGGATCCTCGGGTAAGAATATATTAGATATGATATTATTTAACAAATACTACTTTGTCATGTGTCTTAAGGGATTTTTACCAGTTTAAAGGGAGATACTAACCAAATAACTAAAAACTAAACTACAATTATATTGTTGGTGGCTGCGTTTTATAAAGTATTCCAGTTAATGTAATAGTATTGTAATAAACTGCTTCTTTTTTTATACTTCATACAGTGAACTTAATGTTTTGTTGTCAATTTGGCGGTATTAGATAGTTTTTATTGAACTGCCCTGAATACCATCAGTATCCATGCAAGGGAACTCTACCAACACTATATTTAGGAGTCATCAGTGCAGTAGTTCTTTTTTGTATTGTTATTGAAGTCATTAAGTCTCTTTCATATTTCACAGAAAATAAATGCAGTATTTCTGTTAAATCATTTTGATATATTGCTGAGATTTCTTATCTTATAAAAGAGCAAACAAGCTTCTTGGTAGGTCGTCAGTCAAGACCTGATGGTGTGTTTGATTTTGATTTTTAAATGCAAAATAAATTATGAATTTTTTATCCCTAAATGGATTAGGTTCTTGAAGGTATCTAGATGTTATTGTAAAATTGACATCAATCATATAACCCGATATAAACATAGGTATGAATAAAAATATACAGAAAAGCATGTGCAATGGTACAATGAAGATTTTTAAAGGTCTGTTTGATTTCATGTTAAAGATTAAAAATATATGTATATTATCATTGTTTTACCTGTTGAAGAATGATATTTTGTGGGCCGGATCAGTGTCCGAAATGTGATTTTTCCTGGTGTGTCCCTTGTTTCACTTTTTAATGAATTACCCACTTGCTGAACACATGCGTAACCCATCAACTAAAGGTAGAATTAAAAGTTGCATGAATACATATTGAAATGGGTTGAATAATTGACTTGCAAGCCGATTATAATTCAGCGAAGGTTTTTTTAGCTTATTTTGATGAAATTGAACCAATTCGACTGCTAATAGCAAAATATTATTTCTATATTCCACTTTTATAAATGTTGAAACAAAAAAAAATCACATTTTAATTTAATGAATGCCCTTTAATCAAACTACTAGATGCCACATTTTCATCTTTGCCGCAAAATATCAATGTAAGATTTATATTTGTTTATCAATGTCACATAGATAAGAGAAAAAGACAACACTATATATATAGCTTTGAAATTGTATGAATTTAATTTTTAGGTAAATCCATCAGATCGTTTTCATCTAATGCCAATCATCACACCAGCATATCCACAACAGAACTCTACATTTAACGTTACCATGTCAACACGAACAATCATGATGGAAGAATTTATGATAGGTAAACGTATGATATGGCTACAATAAAATATTAGATGTGGTTTATTTACCGATAAAATAATGGTCCATCATTTCACAATAATGGCCTTCAACAATGAGAAAAACAAATACTTCGATGATAAAATGTGAAAAAAATAATAATATAAAATAATTTTGTTTGCATATTTACATGTGAAGGTGAATTTGAAAAAGTCTACTGTTTTTCATTTTGCTAATTGATGAAGGAGATATGTGGAGTATAGTGATGTTAGAAGGTTGATCTCAAACAAACTAATGTTTAGAAAAAGAGGCAAGAGTAATCCTATAACGGATTTAAGGACGCTATCATTTATGTTATTGTGCAATCAGCCTTTTTACGGTAAAAAAATAAATATTGAGTATTCGTATAGTAAACAAGTATCCTCCCCTGATGCTACTTTGAGCAAGTGTTGATATAAAAATGACTATGTCACAGATCATTATTGGGTCTATGGTGGTCTTAGTATCTCATCTACTGTATCACTAGCCTATTAACACTGTGGTGTTGAGTTCTAACCTCAACTCCGATCTTAATTCAGTATGAAAGTATGTTCTAACCGATGGTCATGGTTCACCAATAAAAATTAACCGCCATGATATAGCCAATAAATCAATCAATCAAACTGTTTGGGGTTACATATGGTGGGCTTTTAAGTTATATTGATTCTTTTAAGATCAAAGATGGCAATTAGAAATAAACAAACTACAAGTTTAAGTGTCAGTCTTAAATTGCAAAACATATATATACATATACACTGTCAGAAAATATTAAGATGCAGTGTTCTCCCCAGAAATTTTTTAAGGTGCAAAAATTTGTAGCCTGTAACCCTTTTTTTTTGGAGTGAACTATCGTGACGCGAAACAATCCTTCAGACATGTCAGAACTACAAAATGAATTTAAAAGCTTTATGACAGTCTAAGAGTTTAATTATGCACACTATTTATAAAATATCAATTAATTAAATATAATCAATTTACACACATATAAAACACATTGATCATGCTGATATCACAGTCCATTTATAGAGTTAAAATTTAATTTAAGACACCAAATTTAGTAATTTCAAGAGAATATTCTTCTGTTCTTTTGAGCCTTTAAGTGCTGAACAGCTTTAAATATTTCCATAACCATGATAACTGGTACATCTGCTCTTTCTAAAAATATTGTATTATTAGCAGTTTGTAATTTTTGGAATACAACTTTTTAAAAGAAAAGATAAAATGAACAGTTGATCAATTTTGAAGTTTGACATTTCAAGATCACTTCTGTGTGTATTTACCACACTCTTTTCTTTGGCAGGTAGAAACCTGGCAAATTCTTCAAAGTAAAGTCCAACAAAATTATTTACATATGCTTCTGCGTTTCTGTTCCCAACTATTGACATCGAGTTGTGTATTGTCATAGTTTTCCGGTGCAAGGACCAAAACAGACACAACTGATTTATTAGGCAGTTAAGCTGCCTTATGCGAGCACCCTAGATTTGTGTTCTACCCAATAAATGCTGAAATACGTTCCATTGTTATTATCTAACTGGCTATTATGTTATTTATAACTAATTGGACACTTTTTTCATACTTTTCATTCTGGATTACAAAAAATATGACCAGAAAAACCTTAAATGATCGGCGATCCACCCAAAAGTTTTGAAGTTGCACATAGGAAGTAGTGCTCAATCGATATCCTTATGTAGTTTATTTTCCCATGTGCCTTTGTTTAAGACGTCAAAGAACAATTGTATGAAATATTTAATCGCTGAAAATCTCTAAAGACAAGTCGTTTACATTTCCCAAATGGCAAAAGTCGTAGTAATATTGTTTGTCGTCGATACGTATTAAATACGTCAGTAGTCTAATAATAATTAAATAAGTTGGCGGCAATTTCAAATTAGAAGACGAAATTAACATACCTTTTAAATTTGGAGAATTCTGATGATAGAAAGGTAATTATTGTTAATCATGATATCCTTTTATTTGAGATGAGCGTTAATAAATTGTGTATTCACATTTGAATTTCATTCTTTTATATTACTCTGTTTTTCACATATTAAATGACCTTGTCAAGTAATGCACCAACATATGCATGGTACGTGTTTACAATAGAATAAAACCGGAAATCAAGAAGGTCTCACTAATTACCGACAAAAAGATTGTAGAGACAATAAACGACAAGTAGAAAAAACTTAGGCCACTTAGCGACAGTAAGAACGAATTTGCGACAAAAAGATAAATTTAGAGACAAGAAAGTTTATACACTATTAAAATAATAAATTTATAGAAAAGTCAATTAATTACAGTTGATTATTTTCTGTTGTGTGAAGTTTAAAATTATGTTACATTTAACGTTTACGTACTTCTTGACGCTTCTTGTCTGTAATTAGTGAGACCTTGTAAACATTTTAAATTTGCCGAGAATGACAGTAGTATGTGATATATATGGATTTTAGACTCAGAAAGATCGTGTGATAATAGAAAGTCACATGAAAATGTAGAAAACCCATTCATATATCACTGTATACAGGTACGGATGTCTGAAAAATGTATAAAATCAGCGAAAATAAAAAAAAAGGGCAAATGTAAATTGGGAAATACATGCGGATAAAATAATTAGGTCTACATCACCTTGATCATGACATGAAGCCAGTGTCCTACTCTCAGGCACTTGTTTATATCCATGGGAAGATTTAGGAGCTCAAAATATACGTTGATAGTGGGTCTTCCATGCATAGACACAAGTGCCTGTGGTCCGACTTTGACATTTCAATGTCTACGATATTTTTTCTAAACCAGAACTTTTTTTATTTCTGGGCCTAAAACAAATCTTCATATATGGCCAATTTGAAAAAAGATATATCTTTCAAGAAGTATTAAGTCCAAGAATGTTTTACCAAACGTTTATTTATACCAATATTGGTATAGATCTCGAGTAACATCATGGACTTGGAGGGGGCGGGTCATTTACATTTACTAAAGTCAGGTCAATCAGACCTCACCTTTGATTCCTGTTATAGTAAGGCTTTGTCTGATTTGTGTCATACATTTTGTACTGTAGAACTTAAATTGAACGAACTCAGTGTTCTCCCCAGGGAAGCAAGTCAACGCGCACTATTGCAAAGTTGTACCATGCCAATTAACTTATACATGTACCACCAAAAGTCAACTCAAATCAACATTAACCACTAAATTTTGGAATTCACAATATAATTCTGTCTGATAGACCTATCAGAGACCATGTGTCAACTTACAACAGAGGCAGACTAGAGCATACTATATTACATGACATGTTCATTGTATGTATAAAATTGAATGAAAGTAATAAAAATTTAACATAATTTAATCGCTCTGACACTCAACAGGGACTTTCTATACTAACGTTAGTATAGAAAGTCCCTGCACTCAAACTGCTCATCTTTTTAATTTGTCGAAAATCAAACTTTGATCTGACCCTAAAAAAAGAATATCCCATGATCCCATAATGATTACTTTTCAATTTCATTGACAAAACTTGTGTAAATATATTTAATCATGATTGTATACATGTACATATGTCTAAATAAACAATATAAATATTTTTAGGCAGTTAAGCTGCCTTATGCGAGCACCCTAGATGTGTGTTCTACCCAAAAAAAATGCTGAAATACGTGCCATTGTTATTATCTAGCTGGCTATTATGTTATTTATAACTAATTGGACATTTTTTTCATACTTTTATTTCTGGAATACAAAAAATATGACCAGAAAAGCCTTAAATGATCGTCGAACTACCCAAAACTTTTGAAGTTGCACATAGGAAGTAGTGCTCAATAGAAATCGGTACATAGTTTATTATCCACTATGCTTTTGGCTACGATGTCAAAGAACAATTACATGAAATATTTCATCGCCGAAAATCTGTAATTACAATTTACAAGTCGTTTATATTTCCCAAATGGCAAAATGCGCAGGAATTTTGTTCATGTACAACAAATCTCTATGATAGAGGAAATAAAGTTATATATCTATATTGGTTATCTTGCCAAATAAGGTTGTTGTTATTTTATGAATGAAACGAGGTCATGAAACAGATCCGGAAATCGACGACACGTTGATGGGATGTTTTAAGTAATGTGGACAAGTCAGACAGAATCCACTCGAACCGTCTAAGAAGACAACTCTGACCGTTTATCAGATTTACTTAGGGTTTCATAAAATGTTAGACTAACATGTCTAGTGGAGCCATTAATCTTTTGTTTGTGCATTGGGGTCTATTTAGGGGTATTGGGAGGGGTTTACTATAGAACACTATGGGATTTTATTTTTTTAAATTTTCAAATGACTATTTCTCGAAAATAGTAAGTGACAGACACACGCATTCTTCAGTAATGAGAACAGGACGATAAAAAAAAATCAAACAAAATATAGGGTGAGTCCTTGGGGGTCATCCGAACCCCCTTCAATCTGAAAATGTACTTTTATCTTGTAAACCGTCGCGATCCCCACCCCTAAACAATATATATACTTGTATGGGACAATAAAACAAATAAAATTAAAATAATTTTTGGGAGTCTCCAGTGTCGTCCCACCCCCTCCTGTTTGAGAACTTGGAAATGGTCGAGATCCCCACCCCATAACCATTTATATTCATGTATGGGACAATAAAACAAATCAAATGAAATATAGGGGGTGTCCCCATATAAGGGGAAGTCCATGGGGGCACCCCAGCCCCTCCTGTTTGAGAACGTGTAAACAGTCAAGATCCCCACCCCTAAACCATATACATGTATATTCATGTATGGGACAATATACCAAATCAAATGAAATATTTGGGGAGTCCCTTGGGTCACCCCATCCCCTCCTGTTTGAGAACTTGGAAATGGTCAAGATCCCCATCCCTAAACCATATGTATTCATGTATGGGACAATATAACAAATCAAATGAAATATAGGTGGAGTCCCAGGGGTCACCGTCATCCCCTCCTGTTTGCGAACGTGTAAACAGTCAAGATCCCCACCCCTAAACCATATACATGTATATTCATGTATGGGACAATATAACAAATCAAATGAAATATTTGGGGAGTCCCTGGGGTCACCCCATCCCCTCCTGTTTGAGAACTTGGAAATGGTCAAGATCCCCACCCCTAAACCATATGTATTCATGTATGGAACAATATAACAAATCAAATGAAATATTTGGGGAGTCCCTGGGGTCACCCCATCCCCTCCTGTTTGAAAACTTGGAAATGGTTGAGATCCCAACCCCTAAACCATATATATGCATGCATGGGACATTAAAACAAATCAAATGAAATATAGGGGGGTCCATGGGGACACCCCACCCCCTCCTGTTTGAGAACGTGTAAACAATCAAGATCCTCAACCCTAAACCATATACATGTATATTCATGTATGGGACAATATAACAAATCAAATGAAATATTTGGGGAGTCCCTGGGGTCACCCCATCCCCTCCTGTTTGAGAACTTGCAAATGGTCAAGATCCCCACCCCTAAACCATATGTATTCATGTATGGGACAATATAACAAATCAAATGAAATATAGGTGGAGTCCCAGGGGTCACCGTCATCCCCTCCTGTTTGAGAACGTGTAAACAGTCAAGATCCCCACCCCTAAACCATATACATGTATATTCATGTATGGGACAATATAACAAATCAAATGAAATATTTGGGGAGTCCTTGGGGTCACTCCATCCCCTCCTGTTTGAGAACTTGGAAATGGTCAAGATCCCCACCCTTAAACCATATGTATTCATGTATGGGACAATATAACAAATCAAATAAAATATTTGGGGAGTCCCTGGGGTCACCCCATCCCCTCCTGTTTGAGAACTTGGAAATGGTTGAGATCCCAACCCCTAAACCATATATATGCATGTATGGGACATTAAAACAAATCAAATGAAATATAGGGTGAGTCCATGGGGACACCCCACCCCCTCCTGTTTGAGAACGTGTAAACAGTCAAGATCCCCACCCCTAAACCATATATATTCATGTATGGGACAATATAACAAATTAAATGAAATATTTGGGGAGTCCCTGGGGTCACCCCATCCCCTCCTGTTTGAGAACTTGGAAATGGTCGAGATCCCCATCCCCTAAACCATATGTATTCATGTATGGGACAATATAACAAATCAAATGAAATATAGGGGGAGTCCCTGGGGTCACCCCCACTCCTGTTTGAGAACTTGTAAATGGTTGAGATACCCACACCTAAACCATATCTATTCCTGTTCGTCATTTCAAAAAGATTTGAATGACATACAGTGTAAATCTCCTAGGTGTCACATATGCATATCACTTTACTAGATCAAACCAATATGAACTGGACTTTGCCCAATGTCAGGCGACCATGGGAATGACGAATAATGGGGGCTTTGTTTGGAAGACTTTGTAATGGCATCCTGTAACAACTATTTCTTGTTTATTATAAAATTTTATTGATGCAAAAAATGAGTCTAGGTTTATTGAATTTACTTTAATTATTTATTGAATTTTTTCTGGGCCTATAATATTTTTCATTTATGGCTCATTTTAAAGAAAACATATAAATCTTTCAAGATGTGTAAAGCCCAAAAATGTTTGACCAACTGTTTTATAAACACCTGTCATTTTATTCCAAACTTGGTATGGAGTGACATCATGGACTTGGGGGTGAAGATGGGGGTCATTTACATTGATATATGTGTTGCTTTTGAAAACCTTGATGAAATATTAATAGACAACTTTCGATTTCGATGCATTTCCGTCAAAAACTCTGGTTTTAGTGAACATCATTCGTGCGTTTAGGGGCGTCGTCACTTCCGTTCCCATGTTGAGCGAGTGGTTGGAAAACTATAAAGCTATATTGCATGAATTATTTTGCAAATTGAATTCTCATAATTGTCTTTCTGCACTGCTGTCATTAGGGAATTGTGATTAAGTACCTACAGAACAAATATTATTTCCAGTTTAGCCTGCACAATGACAATCACTAAGACGCTTGATGAACGTTAATAGTGCAGGGATACAGGCCATCCCCTCTATCTGGTAAATGACGTCATAAAGGCGAGCATAATTGACGAGTTTTTTCCGGTGACGGACAAACTCGAAAATGGTCTATTAATTTGCCTTAATAATCAATTCATTTAATAAACATAAATGTATAATATACGAATGTTTAATGTTTTTTCTTTCAAATCTTAAAAAAAAATTGAAGCAACACTGCCACAGTTTTCATAATTACATTTGCCTTGGTTTTTGGTTAACTGCCTACAGCGCTTACAGTGCTTTGATTTTTTAAAGATGACAATTTAAGAAGTATTTTATTTGCTAAGAACAAAATTTTACATTCTATCCCAAACTAGAGATTCATGTTATGAATTTACCATAAATATTAGTTTGCGTTACTTTTTTTCACGTAAAACGACTTCCATTCATAAATATATTTGTAGTTGTGTATTACAAAGTTAGCATGTGTTATCATCATGTTCATTGGTTGTATTAAAGTAGATTTTTACTATTGACCAATGAGAAAATTCGATATTTAATTAGGCATTATTATAAGGAAAGCCACACGTAAAAATGTTTCGTATTTGTATTTCGATCTTTTCTGTCTGAAAAAAAGTATCCAAGAAAAACATTTATCGATTCGATGATAATCTATGCAATTAGGCGATCTGATAAGGCAAATACAGGTAAAGGATAGACTGGAGTCAATAAATAAATGCGTAATTTGGTGTAGTATTGATTTTCATCTCAGCGGCGATCTTTAACTTTACAAAAGTTATCGAACAGTTCATAATTGAATATGAAAGTTAACACGCTGCGGGATCAAGTATTAAGGGACAGTGGCCAATTAAGGCGCTGCGGGATCAATGAAAATATTTTGAAGGCACTGCGGGACCGCAGCGTCATATCGGCCTGGGGAGAACACTGAGATGTATTTGTACTGGCTATGAAACAGAGAAAAGCGCAGCTAGCCAAGTGTTACTTCATTTTTAATAAGCTTGTACAAATAATTTTTACTATTTTGTAACAATGTGTGAGGGTGTTGATGGGTGTTTACAGATTAGAGAATAATGGTAAAAAATTATAAAGAATATAGAAAAATGGACCAAAAAAATAACGAATAAAGAATAATGAGGTGCTAAAATACAAATAATAGAGAATAATGGGCAAAAAGTATAAAGAATAGAGAAAAATGGCCTAAAAAATTAAAGAATATAGAAATGAACGACCCCCATTCAGACCCTCATGTATCTATATTGAATGAATAAATATTTGTATTGTAGAAGCAAACATAATGCTATAGCAAAATAACATAATATCTGTAATGACAATAATAACAGTAAATAGAGAACAACACAATAAAGTCATAGCAAGCACAGTCATACAACTGTTATGCAATTATAATTTGATCTTAGTTTAGCCTCTATGTCGCATCTCGAAATATACACTATTTTTTTTTTAATTCTTTTAGCTAGCACGCAAAAGAAATATAAGATTTCTATTATTTGGCCATATATTTTATTTATACAGTTTAGATAAAGATTGAATACTAAGTGCAAGCTCATACAGTGACACAACACAATAACCGAATAAAAGGGAAAAACAACAAGTTTAGTTTATCAGTATCAATTTGTTGGAAAAACTTTTAATTCCATCTATAAATATTTTTTTTTCTTTATCTAGGTTTAGAAGTAGTAAATAAAATATATACACCAGGAGACAGTTGGGATAAATTATTTGAGCCATCTGGATTTTTCCAGAAGTACAAGTAAGTTAGAGTAAATCGAGAATATCATATGGCTTTTAGAGTATTACACCCATATCAACCAGAGAGACCAATAAAATTTCAAGAGCTCTGCTCGAGGGATATTATAGGTGATAGTTGGAATGCTTTGTGATATTTAAGAAGTAATATCATATATCCTTTATAATATGCATTTATCAGACTAAATGACTTCTTTACACTAAAATCTGTTCGATGTGTACTGCTTGATACTTAAGTCTGAGAGAACATGATTTATTTATTAGTTGTAATTGGCTTTAAACTAGCTTCAGGTATTTGTGAGCACTCTTATAGGTGCTTTGTTTCTATTGTTTTTATGTTATATGATTTTTTTGTGCTTCATATTGATCTATTGATTTAAACCATTTGCGACTGTATCTTATGTTGTCCTTATACAACTATCCCATGTTAGTGGAGGGTTAAGTGCTCACGAACATGTTTAACCCCACCTCATTCTTATGTGCCATTTCCAAGTCAGGAGCCTGTAATTCAGTGGTTGTCGTTGGTTCATGTCTGTCATATTTATTTTTGTAAATTGTATTTCCAGTATTATAGATTAGGCTGTTAGTTTTCTCTTTTGAATTGTTTCACATATTTCATGTTGGCCTTTTGTAGCTGACTATAGGGTATGGGTTTTTCTCATTGTTGAAGGCCATACAGTTACCTATAATTGCTTACTCCACGTCATTTGAAATGTTGTCTTATTGGCAATCATACCACATCTTCTTATTTTTATATTAAAACAAATGTTTTTCTGTGTTAACTTACATGATGTAGTACAGATTTTAGGGTTAAAAATCCCTTGTGCAATGGTGACTGATATTGATATAATCACTGATGACTGATACAGCATGATTTCTATTATGTTTTCTACATACGAAATCTACTGATACCTACTACATAGTATATCATAAAAGTTGATGATATATAACAACAACCACTGATGAGTTCCTTATTTAGAACAGTCCCACAAACATGCTTCTTTTAAAAATCAAATTAGTTTTTTTTCTAGTCAGACAATAATCCTTGATTAAATACTATATCACAATAACATTGTACTTGTACAGTCAAACTTGTGTCATGTATTAATACACCATATTTCTTTTCAATGGTTATGTTTAGTTCGAGGTAAAGCTTTCATAAGTTCAAAAAAGTCAAGTCTTTTAACATATATTTAATGAAAAATAAATACAAGCACAAAACAGCTCTACTATACGCTTGATTCCAATCGTCATCTTTCCGTCAAAGTGTTTGGTTTTAGGTGACGTTATTTGACGTCATTTGTGTGTTTGTTGGGCATAAAATCTACGTCAGTACGTTGAGCTAAGTGATGAATATTCTAATGGGGATAACTTCCTTATGACTGCTTCTATAACTGTTTTCAAATGAGAAAATTGATATATTTCTTTAGGCAGGGTTGGATTATGTAAATAAGAATAAAGACGGGTGTATGAAAAATGTCAAGCAGTCACAATTACTTTATCAGTTCAAAGATTCAGGGATTCAGTTAGCCCATAAAATGTATAAATGGCATGATAAATTAGAGTATAGTTAGAGTATTTCTGGTAATGGAAATGATATGGATCAAATATATTGTTATATTTGATTTTGATTGCCTCTCTTGGTTTCTACATACTTTTTTCCTATTATCTGTTATGTTGTTTAGTTTATTTTCAATGTTCAGCTTGGCATTATTTTATTGTATTTTTTTACAGGCATTATATTGTGGTAATAGCTAGAGCAGATGAAGAAAAGAATTATTTAGAATGGTAATTTAACTTCTTTCTTTAAATTCCATTTAAAGACAACCAAGATTCAAATATTTTGTTAAAAATTGGTGGTGGTTGGTTGCATATTTGAGAGTGACTGTTTCACAGAAGAGGGTCTTGAAAACATGTAAATGGTGACTATGGCAAATATTTGAGTAGTACAAAACAGGATTCATATCTTATCACAGTCACATTAAAATGGTCTGATCCTGATGTGTTTGATTTACTGTATCAGATTCACTAGCCTGTCAACACTGAGGTTGTGAGTTAGAATCCCATCTTAAGTAACATAGATAGCCAGTTTTCCTGCCAAAGGTCGCTGGTTCTCTCTGTGCACTCCGACTTCCTCCACCAATAAAAAACTCTACACCACTATATAGCCAATACTTCGAAAGAGGCGTTAAACACCAACATGCAATCAATCAATCCTGATGTACATGTAATATTTGCAACTGGACGATAAAACTCCAATCCGTCGTCATCATATAAAATTGTTGCTTTTTTACACGTACTGATTACTGTAAATTCTGAAATTATTGCGAGACAAGATATTGCGATATGAGGGAAAAGCTGAGTACAGAAATATGTTTCAGATATCAGAATGTGAGTTCGAATTATAGCGAGACTCTCCCAGACGCATTATTCTCATCAATAAAAACCTTGCAATATTTTCTGAATTTACAGTAGTATGATTGAAGAATAAAAGTGGAACAAATTGTGTCTACAGAAAAATAACGAGTCTTTCAACTCATGTTTTCCTGTTTTTAGACTTTTCATCAGTGGATTTTAGTAGATTTTATATATACCTTTTTAATAACATACTCTCTTAAATTTAGGCATGGTTATATAGAATCAAAGATAAGACTTCTTGTTGGAAACTTGGAGAGAAATATGTTTATAAAACTAGCCCATGTAACACCGGAATCTCTGGGACCATTAACAGAAAGGTAAGTAATTGGTTAGAAAAAATAGATATAAAAAGATTGAACATCTATGTTTGAAGACCCAAGGCCTTAGGCTGTTTTCTGCTCTTTGGTCTGGTTATTGCCTCTTTGACACATTCCCTGTTTCTATTCTCAATTCTGTTGTATAATATTAATGGGAAAAGAAATATTTTCTATGAGGATGACAATGGAGAGTGTCTTTTAATAAAATGAATTTTGAAATATTCAAGGGCTGTTTCATTAAAACATATGTGGTGCTGAGGGAAGGCACTTTGAAAATGGGGTAACTCCTATAGAATAAATTTTAGAATCTTAATTTCATTGATCAAAAAGTATTTGTGACCCACCGGTAGTTGAGATATCCATGTACTTTCCCCGGGTCCAGTATGCTTATTACCACAAAACACAGATCCAAGTTTGAATTTTGGTGGCGTCACTTTTACCATTCTACAGTTATGCCTTTTACAAATGGAAAAATAGCTGAATTTTTTGTTTCCGTTCTCTAACTTTAGTTTGCCTCAACCAAATGTTATGAATCTTATACACAATGCTTATTACCACAAAACACAGATCAAGTTTGAATTTTGGTGGTGTCACTTTTTCTGTTCTAGAGTTATGCCCCTTTACATATGGAAAAATTGCTGAATTTTTCATTTCCGTTCTCTAACTTTAGTCAACCAAATGTTATGAAACTTTAAAGTTGTAATAAAAATAAATTGTTACAAGACAAGTCTGGGGATTATAAGGCCTCCCAACCAAATAAAACTTGCATAAAACAAATGGGGAATGTCCATGGCACACAGATGATGCCCCTCTTGCATATAACGTTATAACGGGACATAACTCAAGAACTGTAAAAGTTTGCATATAACGTTATAACGGGACATAACTCAAGAACTGTAAAAGTTTGCATATAACGTTATAACGGGACATAACTCAAGAACTGTAAAAGTGACTCTACCTAATTTGTACTTGATCTTGAGTTTTGTGGTAATAAGCATTGTGTAAAAGTTTCATAACATTTGGTTGAGGCAAACTTAAGTTAGAGAATGGAAACGAAAATTTCAAAAATGTTTCCTTTTGTAAAGGGGCATAACTCTAGAACAGTAAAACTGACACCACCAAAATTCAAACTAGATCTGTGTTTTGTGGTAATAAGCACTGTGCATATTAATAGATTACACCAATAAAAGGTTGAAGTGTAATTGGAAATAGATGTGATAATTTGCTGTTAAGAGTCCAGTTGCAAGTGATTATTTTATTGGTATAACTGTAAAAAATAATAGAACTTTAATTTGGGACTTATAAGAACAAGATAAGGAAAATACATTGATTCATAAATCTAAAGTAATTATAAGCATTTTGGTCATTTTTTGATATTTCAATATTTCTTTTGAATAAGTTCTCAATATGTTGATGGTTAGTTATTGGTTCTAAAATGTTTGCTATATTTTCAGTGAGAATCCATATATATGTAAATGGTTTATTGGACTTACGTTCGCTAAAGTAGAAAATCAAAATGTAGATTTGACCTACGACATACAGTCATTCACAAATGCAGGTAAGATAAATATCACCTTATTCAGGATGGTTTTGGATGGTGTTAATATCTTTCACTATAGGTGCATCTTTCCAAAGTTAAATCCTCTATACCATGTGACATGTGTGCTCACATATTGGAGAGTAACAGATTTTCATGAAAACATTCAATAACCTTGACCTAAATGTATTGCATGAAATATTGTGGTAAGATAGGTTCATGTTCTTGTTTTACAGATACAAATGTTTGAATAAAATTCTAATATTTTTCGTAAATTTCTGCCAGAATTTTCATAAGAAATGTATGACTAGAACAATAAATGAAAGAGTAAAATAATTCAAGAAGTAGTCAGATTCAGAAATTTTTGCCAGATTTTTTTTCGGATTGCGTATAAATAATCTGAATTCAATATAAAGGATGCTAGGTAATATCTTTAATGGATAGTTTAAAAAATCCAGGGAAATTGAAATCGAAAATGTGAGACAAAAACATATTTAATACTGTAATTTTCATAGTTACCTGTGTAACTCTAAAATAAAAGTAGGGCAAAAGCAATGAATAAAAGGAGATGAAGTTTGGTTTTCATCAATGAGACATGAAACCCACTGTCAGACACAAAAAGAGACATTTAGAGGTCAATTTTCAATATTAGTTTGTTTCTTCTCTCACACAGCAATTTACATGATTAAAATACATGTTGTTACATTTGCTTTTGCTAATGAAAGAGATGGATAAAGATTTACTATCATATGATATAATCCCTCCTGGTGATGTGCGTAAGACCCTGATCTTAATTGACTAGGATTGCCAGTTTCCTCCATTAATAACAACTGGCTACCATGACACAGCCAAGTGTCTTCAACGTGGCATTAAACACCAACAATCAATCAATCTTACTGTTTATAATTTTTAGTATACAGACAAGCACTACACATTAGAATTTTAAAAGAAGATATGAAAGTGGATATTCAGCATGTCAAACGGTAAGTCACATAAACACAGATCAGCATACAATAGGTGCCTTGGTGGCCAAGTGGTCTTAGTTGTTCATCTAAAGTGGATATTCAGCATGTCAAACGGTAAGCTATAGAGAATGTTAAATGGCTTTTTCAGTATATTCAGTCAGAGCTCAGACATAAATAAGTCTAAATCTGCTTTTGACTCATAGAGGTCTAAATTTGAAGATTCAAAGATTTGTCTCCCTTTAATTTAAGACAATTTATGACTTCAATAAGTCGATTAGTGTTAAGAAAGAAATATTTGACCTAAATTAAAAAGTTGCAAATATTGACTCCTACAAGTCGATAAGTTAACAAAATTGGTCAACTTCAAGACCCATGCATATTTATATAAAGGTCATGCATCTATATGAAATTATGACAATATTGAAAGACAATGCTTTGTCTTCTAAAGTAAAATAGGTATGCATGAGAGCCTAAAAAAACGGAAATAATGTTTATTTACTTTACAATGCAACCATCTATAGCCACACTAAATGAGGAAAATAATCTTATGTTAGGTAGAAATGTTCAATTAGATATTTAAATATAGCTAGCTCATGTCCTTGTGAACTTTCAGACAGGGTTATGATGTCATAGGTGGTGCACTTTGGCCAGCAAATAAAATAGTCTTTTCATAAACATAAATACACTTAAACAAGTCTGTCATTTTCTGACTTAAATAAGTCTGAAAATGAAAACACATTTTTATGATAAATGCATTTTTTGACTTCTGTAAGTCGAAAACATTAAACGACATGTTTATGTCTGAGCTCTGACTGATATTAGGAGATTATATTGCTGAGGGTTGATACAATGTGTGATAAATGAAAAATCCATATCATAAACACTTTATTATGAACAAAATACAGATGTTTTTCTGTTGAAGTTTGGTAAAGCCTGTGCAATTGTGATTGATAATGATTGCTATTGATTGCATTGCACGTAAAATTGACTTGTATTTACCACTAATAAAGATTGCTACAGAGACCAGAATACCGCATCCATATTTGCTTGCAAATAGAATGTTGAAGGAGCTATTGAAAGATCTCATTCAAATTTCAAAATAGCTCAGTTGAAATTAATGTAAAACATATATATTCTGTCTGGTCTGACTGTTCAACATGAGTGCTTTTGATTTTAAGAGGTAATTTTTTTTAAACAGAAAATGAAATTAATCTGATAGATTTGATCAAAAAATGTGCATTGTAAGGTATGCTGGACTTTGTGCCAAGAAATGAAAGAAGATTTCAAGAGATTCAAGTAGAAAGGTATTTTGTAACAGTAGCGGTCAAGTTGCTCAGGTTTAACCTTTGATAGATATTATCAACACAATGAAAGAGTGGAACAAATAAACCTTCTTTCCTATTGTGACTGGCCTGCGACTCATTTCACAAAAAATCTTACAAGAAAAATTAGTCGTAAGTCGTAAAGATTTAACAATTACAATCAATTTTTGTGAGAAGATCCCCTGAACGACAAATTTTAGATTGCACAATAGAACTAGCTTTATTTCTCTTGAAGGAAACAGTTAGAAATGTTTGTTCCACAATCAATATTACAGAGATGCAAAGGAGCAGAGGTTAAAAGAAAATCTGTAAGTTTATAGAAACATTATACAAACATTTTTATTGCACAAAAAAGTGAAAACCTGTTAGAATCTCCTCTCCTACTGTGAGAACTATGTGTGTCTGGTTTATTTTCTTAATTGCTCATGAATGAAGGTTCATCTTCAAGTGTGAAAACATTGAAATTTGAGCTTCACAGAAATAGCATAAATACTGGAAACTTTATGCTATAATGTGTATTTTAAAATTTAACTTTAAAGAATTAAGTTTTATGTCTGTAACTTCTAGGTGTTTTAAAAAATAATCTATTAAGTATTTTATGCTTTGATGACGTTTATCATGAAATATTATGATCAAATTGAGTTTATATGGCCATTAACTATGGTTAAGACAGCAAAGTTACATAAATTCACAATTTTCTTAGTTTTACATTAGTAACCATCTGTTCAACAAATTTCTTGTAAAGACAGTTCATTGCAAATTGTTAGAGACATCATTGAAAAGTTGTTAGCTGTTAAAATCTAATTTTTACATATTAAACAGCTTGATTCGTGTAATTTTAGTCTAAATTTTGCAGGATCAATTTTAATTTCAATAGCTACCAGTTTCTTGAAAAACTCTGTTAACTGAAATGAATACTGTGGATTCATTATTCCTGGGATACCAATTTTGTGGATTTCCTAGGTAAACGTGAACCACAAATTTAAATGTTCAACAAAGTATACATTTTTTTTATAGACTTCTATGCAGAGTCCGCAGAACCAAGAAATCAAATATCCACAAAAATAAAAATTTCCCTCAAACCATGAAAATTGGTATCTGCAAAAAATAAACAAACCCACAATAGACCAAAAGTTTGTTAACTGACGAAAGACATTAATTGTAACACAAGTATTTGTCAATCTTTTTATAGGAAGGAAAATCCAGTGCAGGCACTGGTAGTAAGATCTCACAAGCATTAACTCACAGTAAATCAGATACAGATTTAATACGCACAAGTAGCCATGTCATAATAGACACATCAGACGGAGAATCAAGCCATGATGCTCCAAGTTGTGAAACGGATACTAAAAAAAAAGTAAACGGAGAGGTACAGTATATTTATTGTATCATGTTACTATTTTTACTTAGCAGACACAAAGTCATTATGTACAATCAAAATGAAATTATGGTTATAAAATGAGGAGATAAAAGTATTGTGTCAGAAGAGATCAATTTAAAAAAACATACAAGTATTAAATTATTAAAGAATACATAACCAAGACCACCAAGGAAACTGACTTACAAACAAATACAATCAATAACAAACAAAACATATTAAATTGAGAATGGAAATGGGGAATATGTCAACGAGACAACAACCAGACCAAAGAGCAGAAAACAGCTGAAGGCCACCAATGGGCCTTCAACACAGCGATAAAAACCTGTACCGGAGGCGGGCATCAGCTGGCCCCTAAATAAAAATGTGTACTAGTTCAGTGAAAATGGACGTCATACTAAACTACAAAACATATAAATGAACTAAAATTATAAAATACAAGACTAACAAAGGCCAGAGGCTCATGACTTGGGACAGGCGCAAAAATGTGGCGGGGTTAAACATTTTATTACTTGTATTACTTGTATCTTATTACTTGTATCTAAAATTTCTGTAGTGAAATGACAAGAAGCAGAAAAGTTGATAGAAAATCAGCTCATTTACTCTGATCAACTTCAAGTATCTAGAGAACTGAATTATCTATCCACGTTTTGGACTGTGGTGGGTATTTGTGTCATTCTCTGTACCTTTGTTAATTGGTTTTAGAGAATAAAGTATCTGTCTATTGGCAATCATACCACATCACCTTATGATGATGATAGATGGCTGCATAATGTCCAGCGGTATCTCCTTATTTTGTCTAGTTTCCTTTTGATATTTCCATAGTTACCACATCCATTATCACCCACATCATCAGACAGTGCAATGCAAAGTCCATGTAGAAAGAGAGAGGGGTCTCCTTCAGGGGCAGAGAGTCCAGTTAAAAGGTCCAAATCAGAAGAAGAATCACAGGTATTGTGCAGATATGTTATTCTTATCAGTAATATTTAGGACATTACAATCAAAGTGGCATTCATCTCTGATATAAATTCAAATGTATGGGATTCAATTTTTCGGAAGCTGAACATACTGAATGACAGTGTTTCACTGTCTGTTTTTAAGTGTTTAAGAAAAACAGTCTATACACAGTTTGGAATAAAAAATTCAGTTAAATTGTTTTACTTAAAAAGTTGTTTTTTTTTTGGTTCTGAAAGTGGGACATATGTTGTTTTGTGTATTTTAGATAATTTTTAATAACATTTCATAATAAATTTACTTTCTGTTTTGAAATAAGCCAATTTAAGCTTCTATTCTCCAAATGATGTTAACTTTTAACCCATCAGTCCATGACTTACTTTAGTTACCCCACAGAAGATAATAAAATTTTCCAGTTCAACACTGTGATCATGAATCTTTTCAGAACATGCTGGGTTCACCGATGGTTGTAGATCCACAGTCACAAAGTCCAAGTCGGAAAAGAGAAGGATCACCAGTAAGGCCAGACAGTCCTGTTAAACGGACCAAATCTGTAAAGGATGTCCAAAGTTGTCAGGTTAGGCCAGGAGAATTCTATTTTTAGTTTGTCATCAAGTTACTCATTTACAAAATAAATAGTTTGAAAGGGGAGAGAAGCAGAATTCGGGTTCATGTAGCTATATACTGTAAACCAACTTATTTCCATAGATACTTCTTTTTATTTTTGGCACTTTGTAGCTAATTTCTCAAAGATTTCTTTTTGGCAATTTTCTAAGTTTGTCAGTGTATACATATGAGAGAAGATCTAAGTTTGACATATTCACGAAGAATTTGAATAACTTTATTTTCTATATGCAAAAGTTGAGAAATAAATGTCTCGCAAAAAAAATTAGCTGGTTAACAGTATGTAAATTTGTAAATTCAAAAATCATCACCAAGATTTTTTAAATTAGGAAAATGCGACAGTATCAAGCTCGCAATAAAAAAAACTCTCATTTATAATGTCAGAAGTGATTTCTGTTAACGAAATTTTTGCAATCACATTAATTAGATCTCAAATTTTTACCAGTATTAAATCAGTAATGAAAATAATAAATGTACACTTTTATTTCTGAATTTACAGTAGCCAATTTCTTGAAAATACTTTTTTCCAAGATTCTTTATATTAAAGAATGCTGTCCAGTTTCCATATAGTTGATTTAATTGAAGTAAATGCCTAGCATGAAACTTTTCCTCATACATTTTTGAAAATGTCATTTAGATAATGAGTAACAAAGGTGAAAGGCTAAAAATAGATAGAATTTGGCCTTTTTCCTGTTCGGAGGTTCAGACTACAGAATGTGTTGTCTTATATGTTGTTTTTTTATTTATTAATTTCGTTATTTTGCCTTTAGGCCAGGTGAGCTTTTCTCATCACTTGGAGTCTGTCATCTGTCATCGTCGTTGTTAAATTTTACAAAAATCTTCTCCTTTGAAACTACTGGGCCAAATTTAAACAAGCTTGACCACAATCATTATTTGGGTATCTAGTTCAAAGAATGTGTCTGATAACCCCGCCAGCCAACAATAATGGCTGACATGGCTAAAAATAGAACATAGGGGTAAAATCCAAGTTTTGCCTATTATTTTGAAAACTGCTATAAATAGATGAAATCTGACGGGGGCAAATATGTTCACAATGTTGAGCTCTACCTATTGTTCATTTACATCAAAACTCAAACAACTTCTCATAGAAGTAATTGCCCTTAAAAGATGAATTTTACCATTTTCAAAAATGTTTGCCTAATGTTTGCCTATTATCTCGAAAATTATAATAGTATTTTTCTGATAGATGGACTTAGTTTTTTTTTTACAGTTAACATTTACAGACAAATTGGGATTACATTTTTTTGACATGATAAGTTTGTTAATCTTCATGGATTGTTATGAAACTTGGATAGAAGCTAATCTTCAAGACCAAGAAATAGCATCTAAAGAGAAAGTTTGAATTTTTTTTTAAATTCTGAATTTACTGATAAATGGACTCACTTTTTAAGTCAACAGTACACTTTTACACTGACAGCAGCAATGGTAGGCTAGACACAGGGTTCCGTGGAACCCCTTATGAATCTTTACTAAAAAGTGGTTATTGTTCAAGATGCAGGTGAGCAACACAAACTCTTTAGAGCCTCTAGTTTGAGTTTAGTTGGAATTTTTTGTTGATAATATCTGAATATGGCTAAATAGAATTAATTATTTGGTTCTGAGATATATATATATAAAAAAATAGTTTAATTTTTGAATTCCTCTTAAAATTGCATGAAATATTTGCCACTGGATGTTATGCATACAACAATTAATCAATCAAACATTTGTAAAGTTCTCTCTTTCTTGGAGTTATGAATGAATGTTTGTCTAGAGGGGAGTCAAGATAAGTGTGTTAAATTGGAAATCTTATTTTTATCTGAAGAGACAAAAAAAAGAGAAAAACTTAAATTGTGCAAAATAACCTGATTTGTCTGTTTTGTTGAGATTTTCACTACATTTAATGTTATCAAATAAATATATTTATGGAAAAAATGCTACTAATTCTATTTTCAGCCTCCGATTGAAATAGGATCACCAATGCATATAGACGCAGAATCAGGCGATAGTGTGAAAAATGTTGAGGTATGTTTAAATATCTAAATGTCAAGAAATTGTTGTAAAAAGATTTTACATCTTATTTCAAATCATTTGTGTTCATCTAAGAGCATGTTTATGTCTTGGGAGTTTTAAAAAAGCATAATTTTAAGAATTGTATATGTTATGATAAAAGTGGGAGATGCAGTTTTCAAGGAATTTTCATAAGCAGTTCCTCATTAACTAGTGTGATTATTTATGCATCATGTAGGGAAAGTATTTTCCTTTGCAAATAAAGGAACATTTCTTTCAATGGTCTGTATGTGGCCTGTTGCAAGGCAAAATTAGTACCTTTATTGACATACCCTAATTTTCTTAAGGCAGTGCTGATTTCCTGCATCCTTGATGACCCTCTTTATAGTAATGTCTTCCCATTGGATATATTATTTATTTGTTCTCAACCTGATTAATCATGAAATATTTGCTACTGGATGTTAAGCAAACAACAACCAATCATTCTAGTGTGATTCTAAAATTGATCTTCTAGTATCTAAGTAACAGAAAAATTATAAGCAACTGTTCTGAATTCATTTATTTTTTGGGATACCAATTTTTAGCTCACCTGGCCCGAAGGGCCAAGTGAGCTTTTCTCATCACTTGGCGTCTGTCGTCTGTCGTCCGTCGTCGGCGTTAACTTTTTACATTTTGAACTTCTTCTAGAGAACCACTGAATGGAATGAAACCAAACATGGCATGAATGTTCCTTATGAGGTGCTGACCAAGTGTTGTTACTTTGTAGCGGATCCATCATCCAAGATGGCCGCCAGCGGGGGACTTAGTTTAACATAGGACCCTATGGGAAATACATACAAATGTCTTCTTTTAGAGAACCACTGAATGGAATGAAACCAAACATGGCATGAATGTTTCTTATGAGGTGCTGACTGAGTGTTGTTACTTTGAAGCCGATCCATAATCCAAGATGGCCGCCAGTGGGGGGACTTAGTTTAACATAGGACCCTATGGGAAATACATACAAATGTCTTCTTTTAGAGAACCACTGAATGGAATGAAACCAAACATGGTATGAATGTTCCTTATGAGGTGCTGACTGAGTGTTGTTACTTTGAAGCCGATCCATAATCCAAGATGGCCGCCAGCAGGGAACTTAGTTTAACATGGGACCCTATGGGAAATACATACAAATAAATGTCTTCTTTTAGAGAACCACTGAATGGAATAAAACCAAACATGGCATGAATTTTCATTATGAGGTGCTGACCAAGTGTTGTTACTATGAAGCTGATCCATAATCCAAGATGGCCGCCAGCAGGGGACTCAGTTTAACATTGGACCCTATGGGAAATACATACAAATGTCTTCTTTTAGAGAACCACTGAATGGAATGAAACCAAACATGGCATGAATGTTTCTTATGAGGTGCTGACTGAGTGTTGTTACTTTGAAGCCGATCCATATTCCAAGATGGCCACCTGCAGGGGACTTAGTTTAACATGGGACCCTATGAGAAATACATACAAATGTCTTCTTTTAGAGAACCACTAAGTGGAATGAAACCAAACATGGCATGAATGTTCCTTATGAGGTGCTGACCGAGTGTTGTTACTTTGAAGCCGATCCATAATCCAAGATGGCCGCCAGCGGGGGACTTAGTTTAACAGGGACCCTATGGGAAATACATACAAACGTCTTCTTTTAGAGAACCACTGAATGGAATGAAACCAAACATGGCATGAATGTTTCTTATGAGGTGCTGACTGAGTGTTGTTACTTTGAAGCCGATCCATAATCCAAGATGGCCACCTGCAGGGGACTTAGTTTAACATGGGACCCTATGAGAAATACATACAAATGTCTTCTTTTAGAGAACCACTAAGTGGAATGAAACCAAACATGGCATGAATGTTCCTTATGAGGTGCTGACCGAGTGTTGTTACTTTGAAGCGGATCCATAATCCAAGATGGCCACCAGCGGGGGACTTAGTTTAACATGGGACCCTATGGAAAATACATACAAACGTCTTCTTTTAGAGAACCACTGAATGGAATGAAACCAAACATGGCAAGAATGTTCCTTATGAGGTGCTGACCAAGTGTTGTTTCTTTGAAGCTGATCCATCATCCAAGATGGCAGCCAGCGGGGGACTTAGTTTAACATAGGACCCTATGGGAAATACATACAAATGTCTTCTTTTAGAGAACCACTGAATGCAATGAAACCAAACATGGCATGAATGTTCCTTATGAGGTGCTGACCAAGTGTTGTTACTATGAAGCCGATCCATAATCTAAGATGGCCGCCAGCGGAGGACTTAGTTTAACATAGGACCCTATGAGAAATACATACAAATGTTTTCTTTTAGAGAACCATTGAAAGGAATAAAACCAAACATGGCATGCATGTTCCTTTTGAGGTGCTGACCAAGTGTTGTTACTTTGAAGCTGATCCTTCATCCATGATGGCTGCCAGATGGGGACAATGTTTAACAAAGGACCCTATGGACAATACATACAAATGTCTTCTTTTAGAGAACCACATACTGAATGGATTGAAACCAAACATGGCATGAATGTTCCTTATGAGGTGCTGACTAAGTTTTGTTACTTTGAAGCTGATCCTTCATCCATGATGGCCGCCAATGGGGGGGACTTCCTTTAACATAAGACCCTATGGGAAATACATACAAATGCTTCTTCTAGGGGTGCACTGAATGGAATGAAACCAAAACATGGCATAAATGTTTCTTATGAGGTGTTGATTAAGTGTTGCTACTTTGTTGCCGATTTACTGTTCAAGATGGCCACCAGGATTTTTTATTAAATTACAGGACCAATATTAAACCAAATTTGGCCTCACTCATTATTAGGGTATCTGTTATGATTTTAATCTATTTTTACATGATTTCCAAAACCAAAGTAGAATCAGGTGAGCGACACAGGCTCTTGAGAGCCTCTAGTTTGTGGTTTGAGGAAAAAATGTATTTTCATTGGTATTTGATTTCGTCGTTTTTTTACCAAAGTCTGCATACATAACTATACATACTTACCTCTAGTTGATTTGTACTTTGGTGTTGACAATTATGTGGTTAACCTGTACCAATTAAATCCACGAAAAATTGGTATCCCACGAATAATGAATCCACAGATAATGAAGCACTATAGAAAACTGTACAAACTTTTTGTCACAGGGTAAAAATTCTCCAATGCAGACAGAGGACAAAAATCGTAACACAAAACCTATAATACCAAGAAGATTTGTAGTGAGTGACATTGTTCTTCCCCTGCTGCATGTATTTTATATATTGTTGATGATATAACACCACATGTTCATGTATTCATTTCACTGCTAATTTATTTGGGAAAGATGGTTATTTTAGCTCTGGATTTACATATTTAACTTCATTTAGATACCAGCTGATTGGGTCTCTCATCCAGAGATCGCCAATCAAAATCCTGGATTTGTGACACATTTTATCGTATCGGAAAGGCCAAAACTATTGAGATTATTTTAAGAACAGTTAATTCTGATATCAATGTCCATTCACTTTCATCAATAGACTCCAGACAAAAGTTAAAAAGCCATACAGGTTAATTTTACCTCAGAGTCAGCAGATGTAATTTTTAGGTAACTCTTATTGAAATCAATTTACATTTGATAAATTTGAAGCATTTTCAACGTTAAGTATAGTCAAAATTTTAATTATGGCAAAACAGCTATAGTTGATGATACCAATTTTCTTTTGACCAATCAAATCTGTTCATATGGCTTCAAGGGGAATCTGAAAAGGTGACCACAGTTGAATCCACTGATTGTCCACAAAATTATCTTACAGAACAGCTCTTAAATTCTCCAGTTTAAACAAAAATTGTTAATTATAAAGAAAATAACCTGCTGATTTGAGGGATCTCAGTTCTTCATTAGTCAAATTTAAATTATGACCTCAAATTTTCTGTTTTTCTCTGCCTTTCCAATTGCTATGTCTTAAAAAAATGGCAACCACGTCTGATGACGTCACATAAATATAACACATCTTTGTGCAAGTCATTTGCAAAGAAAGAGAAAATTTGTTTATATATTGTCTAAAAATCATTAGAGTAACAGATTTCACCACTGAATCTTGGGTAATGGGATATTTCTCAACTCTTGACTTTTAAATGTTAGGTATTTAAAACGCTCAGCAAGCCTTTGAAAATTTGAGCTGTCTCACAATATTGTATCATACTTGATGTAATGGTGGAATTTTATTTCATGCAGAGAAATTATTTTCATTATACTCTAGAAGAGGGTTGCTGAAGTGCTATTATTATACAACTTAATTATTCTTTAGCATAATAACTTTTTTGTTTGTTTTGCAGCATGTAAAACGACTACCAAGTGCTGAAGTACCAGATCTGATGAGTCCTAACGCAGCACCTGCTCAAACTGTTAATGTGCCTAGAAATAATATCAAACTGAGACTGAAATAAAACCTACCTCTAACAGAACAAAGGTCAATATGTAGGACACATTGTTAAAACCAGAGGTACTCACAAAATATGAGTGTTCCAGCAAAAAACAGACAGGGTCAGATATTTTTACGAATCAGGAAAATCTTAAACAGCAGGTGGCTATATGTGGAAAATCATCAAGCTTTCTATTCAACTCATTGTTAAACACCAAGTTTGTGACTTTCCAATTACTCTTGTGGCAAGGTTATTTCTCAAATTGATGAGTAGAACACAAGGAAATTTATGAAATCCATAAAAATGTGCAAATTGATTTGATTTTGAAATCTTGAAGTTCAATTGAATGTTTTTATGCGTCATTCAAGTTTAGTTTTGATATAAAAGAATTTGCGTTAGAAGCAATTTGATGTGTATGTAAATGTAAAATAGAACCAGAGTTGTGGTTTCTGTCCTGTCACAAGCTCAACATCTCTCGTTCTAAGAAAAAGAGATTCGTGAATTTAAAGTCTACTTATTTCTATTTTTTTATACTTAGTAGCAAAATAGATTTTTTTTATTATAACCAAGGAGCTGTTCAATTTTGTAGTCAACAACATTAAATTAAGGAAAATAATTAAATGTTTTGCAGAAATCTTCCATTATAAACACCAAATATACAGAGTTGAAAACAGAATTTCTATTTCTGACATTTGCTATCAAAATGTCATTATTGCTTTTAAGTAAACAAACTACATATGGTAGAACTTTTAACTTTAAACTTTATGTGGCTGCTTTGGTTTTGGGAAGGTAGAGTGGTTGTTGACATCTTCCTGTACATATCAGTTCATACTTTAGTTATTAAGGAAGGGGTTTGGGCAAAGAAATCGAAGAGGAACTCAAGCTACCAATATGTGCAAAGTTTACTAGTTGAGGTTGGTGGTTAATAGTTTATCCAAGGAGCTCCATTTGGCTCAAGCGAGACAGATTATCAGTTACTATTCAAAGGTCAATTGTAAAAGGTTTATCCTGGGCACATCAGTTTCCTCCCATATAAACATTTCTACAAAATACCATTAATGAAATACTTATAGAGCAATGTCACTATCTATTGTTTAAATGGAGTGGTACTATGATGTAAATGTCAAATAAAAATATAAAGTCCAACATATTTTTGAATTTATTTTAGTACACTTACAATTTCTAGAATTTAACATTATGAATTGAAACTTCATGGTGTTTTTTTTTCGACTGGATTTTGATGAGAAACTATCGTACTTTAACTTTATTAATTTGTGTAAACTTTGCAACATGCACAAATTTCATAGGAAAAAGGCAGTTCTTTGTGACAGTTTTGGTTATTTAGTAATGAAGTATAAAGGGCTGCGATAACCCACATAGTTTGTAATTTGTAATAGACAATCAATTACCACGGAGTTGATACTGTCCTTGAGAGTTACAACCCACTAGCGTGTCATTCTGTAATTGCATGATTCAAAGTACATTTTTGTCTGTAAATTTTCATTTTATAATAATAATAGGCTAAGATTGCAGCTACATTAGGCAAATTTGACCTGAAATGACCTGAGGATATTCTATTAAGACCAATTTGATTAAAATAAAGATCCTGTGTTCATGCTTTGCTAACGAGCATCTGACAATACTCATTTCTACTTTCTGTTCTAATGACCTTTCCGGATCCTCTGTTTTTTTATGCCCCTGCCAAAGCGGAGGGGGCATTAAGTTTTACCCTTGTCCGTACGTCCCAAAATTGGTTTCCGTTCTCTAACTTAAGTTTGCCTCAACCAAATGTTATTTGCTAAATTTTTCATTTCCGTTCTCTATCTTTATCTCAACCAAATGTTATGAAACTTATTCACAATGCTTATTACCACAATACACAGATCAAGTTTGAATTTTGGTGGCGTCACTTGTACTGTTCTAGAGTCATGCCCCTTTACAAATGGAAAAATTGCTTAATTTTTCATTTTTTTTCTAAAAATATCAATGATGTCATTGTTCAAGTAATTTTTAAAATTGGAGTTATCTTCCTTTGTCCATGATTATACTTTAATCAACTACAATCAATGCTTTATACAATGCGATGTTTAATTTTTCCTTCCACTGATAAAACACAGATCAAGTTGAATTTGGGTAGTGTCACTTTAACCATTATTGAGTTATGCCTTTTATAAATCAAAAAATTGCAAAAGTTTTAGTTTCTGTTTTGTAACTTAAGTTTGCCCCAACCAAACATGAAACCTATACACAATACTTATTACCACAAAACTAAGATCAAGTACAAATTTGGGTAGCATCACTTTTATTGTTCTTGAGTTATGTCCCTTTATAATGTTGTATGCAAGCAGGGGCATCATCTGTGTCCATGGGGACACATTCTCCATTTATTTCATAATGATACACCCTTTCAAAAATTGTAGGCAGGAATTTCATTGGCTGATCTAATAATTTGACCTTGGGTGGATTAACCGGTTTTATTTAGACCCTTCTGGTTTTAATGTTCTTCTTCCATTTAATTATTTTTGCTTTCCAAACATTTGTTCTGGAGATGCATGTTCTTGTTTAACTCTAAATGTATCTTGAAATCATATTTTAGGGATGATTATTAAAGTACATGTTTTTAAGTTCATTTTGATGTTTGATATACAAATTTTCAAGATGATGAAAAATATATTAAAACAGGCTGGAATTTTAACCTAAAATGTACACTGGATTCATTTATTTTCGTGGGTACCAATTTTTGTGGATTGAGGAAAACTTGCCTTTTTGTAGATATTTGATTTCTTGGTTTTGCCAAAGTCTGCATATAACATTATATCATCATTTGTTGAACATTCAAATTCTTGGTTCATCTGTACCTATGAAATCCATGAAGATTGGTATCCAATGAATAATAATGAGCCAACAGTATCTCATTTCAGTAAACCGACAGAATTAAAAAAAAAATCCTTTAACTTTATATCCTACATTTCTCATTTCAGACCATTAATCAATGTAAAAGACTGTATGCTCGTGTTTGTTATATTATATTGATTGAATGATTGATTGGTGTTTAATGCCACTTTCATGTTATATTATAAATGTATATTGAACCTCATTGAAAAGTGAATAAAATGTAGGGAGTGTAAAAAATCTGTCATGTTTACACAAAAAATCTTATGAGAATAGTCGGCGGTAAATGAACAATTCAGTGTTGTCTGTATGTTTACTATCAATTTTTCACGTAAGAATTTTTTGTGCTACAGCCTAATATAGTTTGATTAAAACTAGAACGGTTGATTAGTTTAAAATGTGTACACACATTAATACATACATGTATAAGTTGTAAAATAACATTATTGAAATATGTTGCTTTGGTCTTTCATTAACAGATTTGTAATACCCAGGAATAACACTGTTAAGATGTGGTACCAGAAGCAATTTGAACATTTCATGAGCTCTTTTGTTTGAAACACTTGTGTAATTTCTGAGTACTGTGTATGTAATGTTCCACATTAGATAAACTTATCAGCCTATATTAGGAATATTGTTTGAATTTTCAGCTGAATTTGAATTCAGGCTGGAGATTTTATTATTTTCATACATTTCAATAGTCAAACTGAACCTTTATAATGTAGAGAATTATACCTCCACACTGGAGAATCTTACATGTATTATTGAGATTTATACCTCCACACTGGAGAGTCTCTTATCTGTATTATGGAGATGTATACCAACTCACTAGAAAGTCTTGTGTATGTATGTTGTGCAGATGTATATATATTTCATTGTTATATTTTCTGTAAAGTTATTTATAGACTTTATATTATAGAGTTGTGTTTTCTTAACTTAGTGCTCTGATATGATTTCAATATTGAGGGTTATTCATGTTTAATGATATATATATAAAGGCAGCTCTCCACAAATTTACTGAAGGAAATCTTATCCACGGATTCAAATTTAAGATCAATATTTTAAGGCTAGATTACAGTTTCACTGAACCAACCTGTTTATTGTAATTATGTTTTAAGGACAAATTTGACCTTGGATGCTCTTTCAAATACTTTCCGTGGTTCTTTTTTACTCCTTTTTACTAAATGAAAAAATGAAAATAACTGCTGAAATGGCTACATGTTTTATTTACAAACCAAAAAAGTTGCTTTGTATTGTACATAGATAGTTCAAACACAATTGAAAAAGAAAGTATTATCTTTGATAATAAAAATTATCCACTCAAACATTCTACAAATTAATTTTAAATGTTATAGTTTTGACAATATAGTATTCATCATTGTCCAATTTGTTTCAAAATTTTTTTTTTTTTGTAGAGATTGTTTAGATGCTATAAAAAATGTCTGCTTTTATTATGTAATAGGTTAGTGAAAATGATAGCAGACTTTACAGTGTCTAAATAGTAAATCTATATATATAGTCATTATGGATAATAATTTTCTTATTAGATTTAGATACTATAATAAGAAAAAGATTGTTTTTAGCTATAAAGTGTACATTGGTTTGATTTTCAGTTATGTTCAGTTGTTCAGCTGCTAAGGATTATAAGTGGTAGACTTGTGTCAAATTAATAACTGTTTAAAAAATTTAGCCAATTTTTTTTTTTTTATTTTCACTAGCAATTTTATGTAGTATTGTATTTATTTAATTTTCCTATGCTTGGCTATATTATTCACAGGCTTAGATATATAATTGTGAAAAATCATTATTTTTAATGGAGAAAAGAAACACCAGAAATTATTTTGATTGGAAAAATTAAAAAAAAATTAAAACTATAAAGCTTCCGAAACACAAAAGAAGTAAAATGAGTTTTTGTGGCTTTGTTAGTATACTGTGGATTTGTTAGTTTTGTGGGATACCAATTTCCTGGATTTCATGGCTTTAGGTGTGTATGCAGACTTTGGTACTACCAAAAAATCAAATATCCATGAAAATACAATAATCTATCAATCCACAAGAAGTGGTAACCATGAAAACAAGGAATCAACAGTAATTTCTCAATAGAATGATTATTCTCTGTTGTATTGCCATTATCAATATACATAAACATGTACCATGTTTTTTCTTTGTACAGTATGTACAAAACTTTATAAGAGATATAAGTCTGTAAGTAGCCTGTAGTACTACTGTAATAATAACTTGACACAATTAGGAAAAAAGAAAAGGCTAAGGTGACAGGCAATTGTAATATTTAATTACAAACAATTTGTTTGTTCTTCAAGTAATTTTGTACTTGTTTGTTCTTCAAGTAATTTTGTACATACATACTGACTTTGTTTGATATTTAATGATACATGTAGAGGACTGATATATTATAGAAGGAAAGATAGTAGTTGGTACACATATGTTCAAATAGACTTAAGACATATGTAGAATGTATAGCACCAATATACTGTTTATTTATGGAAACCATGACCTGGTGTGATAATTACACAACAAATGCAATCTTTGAAGTTCAGTTGAACTAGACGTTAAAAAAAATAATAAAAAAACTTGTTTAGGGTTTCTCTACCTGCCCTTTTATTATTATAAAGCCTACCCTTAAGTTGTAATTGGCTTTTTTTATACGACCGCAAAAAATTTTTGCGATCGTATATTGGTATGACGTTGGCGGTGTCATCATCGTCGTCGTCCGAAGACACATTGGTTTTCGCACTCTAACTTTAGTTTAAGTGAATGGATCTCTATGAAATTTTACCATAAGGTTCAATACCACAAAAGGAAGGTTGGGATTGATTTTGGGGGTTATGGTACCAACAGTTAAGGAATAAGGGGCCAAAAAGGGGCCAAAAATAAGCATTTTTGTAACTTCCAGACATAACTTGTGTGTTAGTGTATGGATCTCTCTGACATTGTACCACAAGGTTCCATATCCCAAAGGGAATGCTGGGATTGATTTTGGGGGTAATTGCCTCAAAATTTTAGGAATTAGGGGCCAAAAAAGGGGCAAAAAACATGCATTTTTCTAGTTTCATGACAATAACTTGTGTGTACCTGTATGGATCTTTCTGAAATTGTACTACAAGCTTCCATATCACAAAGGGAAACCTGGAATTGAGTTTGGGGGTAATTGCCCAAAACGTTTAGGAATAAGGGGCCAAAAAGGGGCAAAAAATAAGCATTTTTGTAGTTTCCAGACAATAACTTGTGTTCAAGTGTATGGATCTCTCTGAAATTGTACTGCAAGGTACCATACCACAAAGGGAAGGCTGGGATTGATTTTTGGGGTAATTGCCTCAAAATTTTAGGAATTAGGAGCAAAAAAGGGGCAAAAAAAAAGCATTTTCTAGTTTCATGACAATAACTTGTGTGTAAGAGTAAGGATCTTTATGAAATTGTACTACAAGGTTCCATATCACAAAGGGAAAGCTGCGTTTGAGTTTGGGGGTAATTGCCCTAAATGTATAGAAATTTGGGGCCAAAAAGGGGCCCAAAAAAAAGCATTTTTCTAGTTTCCAGACAATTGTGTTCAAGTGTATGGATCTCTCTGAAATTGTACTGAAAGGTACCATACCACATAGGGAAGGCTGGGATTGAGTTTGGGGGTGATAAATCATAAGGGGTTCAAAAAATTTTGGGGGGGGGTAGGGGTTTCCTTTTTTTTTCTTTAAAATTTTCCATTTTAAATTGGTTATTTCTGATTTATCTATAAAAGCAAATAATAATGATATGGTTTGAAGAAGTAAATTAAAATTTTTTTAGTTCTTAGACCACATTCATTCTGTGTCAGAAACCTATGCTGTGTCAAATATTTAATCACAATCCAAATTCAGTGCTGTATCAAGCTTGAATGTTGTGTCCATACTCGTCCCAACTGTTCAGGGTTCAACCTCTGCGGTCGTATCAAGCTGCGCCCAGTGGAGCATTTTATTTGGGGTAGGGGGGATTGGGAGTAGTGAATCGTGACAAAATTGTAGCTGTTCCTGATGCTCTAGGGGGAAAATGAGCAAAATACAAAGTTACTTACCAGTACTTACCCAATTTTTCTGAAGGAGGAACCCTAAATACTTGTAATATTTTGTTTGGTCCAATGTGTAATTATGGTGGAATCTTAGTCCATTGTTGATTTTTAACGACCGCAAAAAATTTAATATAAATTCAAATCATATAACCAATTCTAAGTTCTTTGACTACAGTTATTCTGTGTCAGACCTGTATCAAGCGCGAATATTGTGTCCATTTTTGCCCCAACTGTTCAGGGTTGGACCTCTGTGGTCGTATCCAGCTGCTCTCGGCGAAGCAATTTATTGACATATGATAAAGGATACTGTTGGTTTTAGGGACCTGTTCATGATATATTGTAAACTTGGCGTACATGGTGTAAACTATGTCTTCTGGTTGTACTCTTTGTTTTCATAGTGTGAAGTTAGTTTAAATGGTGTGAACTGGATCTTCGTGTATACACTTGGTCAATAAGGTGTAAAATTGATGGTGTTAACTGCATGTTCATACTGTAAACTTTGTCATGAATTGGGTAGATTTGTTCTAGGTTGTATATACAGTGGCGGATCCAGAACTTTTTATAAAGGGGGGGGGGGCCACTGACTGCCATAAGAGGGGGCCCACTACAGTCATGCTTCAGTGATTCCCTATACAATCAACCAAATTTTTCCCACAAAATCCCCCCCCCCCCCCCCCCCCCCCTGGTTCCACTACTAATTTTGTCTAGTTTGGGGGCCTGCAGGCTCCCCTTTTTCAAAATCCTGCATCTGCATCTGCCAATCAAATCTTTAGATAGGTAACAACATGATGTCTGAAAAACCTGATTGGACCAAAAAACTTCTGTATTTACATTAGCTAACAAAAAGATTCATGCTTCTGCGAAAAATCAAGAAAGCTTAATTTTAATTTGATGTACTATTAAGTACTGTAAATTCAAAAATTATTGCAATTTATTTTAATAATGCAAAAAAAATGCGACAGTATCAGATTTGCTATAATATAAACTTATGTTCATAATTTCAGTAGTGATTTTTCTTAATAAAAGTTTTGTAAACATGTTCATTAGAGTTGACAATTTTCCCAGAAGGCAAGGAATCGTAATATAATAAATGCACACATTAATTTCAAAATTTACAGTATTCACTTAAATAGTTTAGCTGAAAAAAGTTAATTAGAAACACGGACCATGCTTATTAATATAATTTATACTTTATTTGGTTTAGAATGCTTTTTCTCTCTCGACTTTTACGAAGATGTCTGAATTATTGCTGCGATCATTATTATGTACATAGATTCTGTAATAATGCTATGTTATAATTTAGCAAGGTTTTAACAAACACAATACTGTAAATTGAGAAATTACTGCCAAGTTTATATTTTGTGCAAGAAGTGTGACAGTATCAGTTTAGAATAATAAAAGCTCGCAATCATAATTTCAGAAGGGATTTTCATTTACAAATGTTTGTAAGCACATTAATTTGATCTCCCATTTTTACCAGTATTCAGTGATTCCCAATGATAAATGCATGCATTAATACTTTAATTTCTGAATTTACAGTAAATAGAAGGCTGCCTTAATTGTTCCATATTTTTTTTTGAGATAATAGAAAGATATATTATATTTGTTTTTGAAGAAAGCTATTGTCACCACATTTTCACTGGTTTACATGGTTATGGAGAAACATTTCATTGTATGAGTTTGTACATAGAAGCAGCCTTGTCATCTGTATGTTTTATCTGGTTGGATAAATAATAAGAATAAAAGTGTAAGAAATCATCATTAAAGGGAGATAATTAAGTATGTTCAGAGCTGTCCTAGAAATGTTTGAAATTATTTTTCACTATTCACTTTAACAAAATTGAAATGG